GTCAAAACAATGATATTTGCAGGGTTTTTTTTTTTTGTTTTTTTAATAAAGGAATACATATTATGCAGAACTGAGTTTTGGCCCAGCCCTCCATAATGTTTTCTGTTTTTCCTGTGGCTCCATGGGTAAAAAGAATTGCCCACTCCTGACCTGAACCCTAATCTTATACTATTTTAACCTATATCTATGTATTTATTGATTTATTTATGTCATGGGAGCAGATCAAAAGGTCAAAACCTCATCGAACGTAGAAGTGTATGTGTTTTTTTCCCACCTAATTAGATAACGTGCCACTGCATAAGATTTCAGACAAAAATAGCCCAAAATATAGGCATTTACTTCAGTGGGTGTTTTTACGAAAATCCTCAAAAAAACAAACATGCATTCTTACTGCGATCAGAATCACCTCTCCACAGATCTGTCCTGCTGTTTGGTCTGGTGGCGTCATCTGCTTGTCTTGCTTATGTCTAATCCCATACTGTGGAACATTCCAGTCAAAGCTCCTGTGCAGGAAAAGTGCTGCACTGATCTGATTCTGGTGTTATATATACAGTACCTGCAGCAATACTGAAAGATTTGCTGGATTGGATATCGGCTTCCAAATATCAGTTCAGGCAATATCCTGGTTGGACATACAAGTTGATGTAATAAGACTATTTACTGGATGTAGTCGGTCCAGAAAATCAGATAAAGTTTGAATTTACAAGAAGCTGTTTTGTAGTTATTTCAAAGATAAACAGCTACTTAACACATTTGGATCAGTTGTGTCTTATTTTAGTTTTGTGTTAAATGAACTGAAAAAGCTGGATTGGTGCAACCCTGTCGTAGAGCGTATCAAGCAGGTGGAGGAGAAAAATTACATAGTGGCATGCATAAATAAATAGTTACTTTTATATTTTTATAAATTAACTTGCACCCTTTGCAACAGACTTTTCAAGCCGTCTGTAGAAAATATGAAATGACATTGCATCTTTGTGGCTCTAAAAATATGATGAGAGCTTTTATTTTAACAGGGTAGCTGCAAGGTCTTAAAAATCTTAAAAAGGTCTTAAATTTCAGGTTTCTTAATTAAGGCCTTAAAAATTCTTAAATTATGTTGTCCAATTCTTATGTTCGTCACATAGGTCTTAAATTTCATTAACCTGTTGTTTTGTTTACTCAACCAGGCTGCAGTGCAATGTTAAATGGAGGGAGGGAAAAAAAACAACAACGCGAAATAACGTAACGTGAATGAATGTCCAATTTGGAGTATGCGCAAACAATGCTTGGTTTTTGGCACCGGCGGCAGTGAGTAAACAATCAGTTCCATCTACACTGCCCAAGACGAAAAACTCTGGTCAGATCTGCTCACGTCACGTACGCATTTACGTCGGATATGCTGCCTGGCATGCATACCCAATCGAATTCCACACACTTTTGCATCACTGTATGCACGCAGATTTCCTCCTGAAAACGCTTGTCTAAACGCAGAATAAAAGTGAAGATCACTTTTGTGTCTTCTGTTCAGACTGTTATTGTATAAACGTAGCCTTAGATTGTAGATATAGTCCGGCAGTTGGTTGGTCATTAGAATTCTGATTTGGTGTTTTTCGCCCGCATAATATCTTAAGGTCTTAATTTTCATTTAAGTGGTCTTAAAAAGGTCTTAAAAAGTCTTAAATTTGGGGTAGTCAAACCTGGGGACACCCCGTTTAATCAATTTAAATATATTGTTCAAATCTTTATATAATGGAGTGACCTCAGTTGGTAGAACGTTTGTCCACTGATCAGAAGGTTGGTGGTTTGAATCCCGCTCTCGGCATAAACATCATTGGTTGAGTGGTCAAATCCACTGATCCACAGGTTGGCAGTGCGATTTCAGCTCCAACAGATGAAGGCTGTCGTTGTGTACTTGAGCAAGACACATGACCAAGCCTGATGTGTGAATGTGTGAGTGGTTCGTTGTTGTAAAGTGCTTTGAGTGTCTTGAAGGTGGGAAAGTGCTGTATAAAAATGTGACCATTTACCGTAATATATTGTACAGTAAGTGGAAAAGCTTGTCAAGATTTCACATGTTATAACACAATTGTGCTTTTGTCTTTTGAAAAAACCCTAAAACCTCCATCTATCTTTTCTACAGTAAACCGTCCCCATCTCCCAGTGTAATATTTACTGGTAGCTGCAGTAGCCTGTGACAAACTCCTCTCAGTTCCTCTGTCTGTTGTTCACTCTCTTACACACTCAGTGCTTCTAGACACCAGCACATTCCTGCGCTCTGCTCCAGGCCGTTACAAAGCACACTTCTGTTTCATCATCTCCCTCCAAACACAACCCCGCACCAAACACACACGCTTTGCAGTACAAATGTTTATTCCAATCTGAAATGCGGAGGAGCCACTGTCCCATGGAGTTTAGTTTTACAAAAGATTTATCCAAGCGTTGCGGCGATTCATGCAGGACAAAGCGAGAGCCGGACCAAAGAGGAAGAAGGGGTCCGTGTTATTATTTAGATTATAAACATTATCTTGTGCTGGTGCATGCATTGGGCTACCATGCGAGTACAGCTGATCACAGTTTGTGTAAGAACAGAGCCCCCCTTCACACCTGGCATTCAAATGAAGAGTACTCAGGTAAAAGTACACATACGGCAAATAATCTAGTGAATTAGTAGTCAAACTGCTGTACTGCTGCCAAATTAGTACTTATAGTGTTAGTAGAAGGTACACATGAATAATAATACTTCTATTTTCTGATCTATGTTATAATGTTGTTTCCTCATCACAAACATACCTGGAGTTGTGTTTTGTTTTATTCATACGTGTTTAACTCAAAAATCCTGCATATTCAGGCTTCTTCTCTCAAATGGAAAACACTCTGTTCCATCTTGTGATTTCATGTGGTAATGCAGGAAGTCAATTTTGCGTAATATAGGTCCTTTAAAGCAGTTACTAGTTACTTTTTAATGCAATTTTAGAACCATTTTAGATTTTTTTTCATGCAAACCTTGATGAATTTAACTCAAAAAATAAATTAAGTGTTTTAGTTGCCACAATCAGGTACAGAGAGGAGGAAAATAGTCATGCATTATGACAATTGGACTTGTACGGAACTTGGTAACTTATATGATTTTACATGTAATGAAGTACAATTACATATCTAGAATTGTACGCATTTACAAATACAGTTACACTCCAAAACTCTCTTATAGTATCTGTTTTGGTCCTGGCTTACAACAGGAGAGATGCTAAAATAGGTTTTGTCAGAATCTTGTAGTAACAAACCAAACATACTAAATACTCTGTTTTAAAGCTGCACTATGTAACATTTCTGGTTGATGGTCTGCCAACTGCTTGCCTCCATGGAGATATTCCTGCTTTATCAGGAGCCATAAATTCTGTATTGACAACGATTCCTGAGATCGAGGATTTAAAGCCGGAACAAAGAGAATGTTTGGTGAATTTTATCAAGGGGAAAGAGGTTATTGCCCTTCTTCCTACGGAATTTGGGAAAAACATAATATCCCAGTTAGCCCAGATAGCGACGCATTACATAGGTCACGACCAAATTGCAGCGAAATAAAAAAAGTATCCGCCTACTGTTGAACGAAGGAATCCTAATGCTGTGAGGTCAGACGGTTTCTACGAAGTGAAGCCAGCTGATGAATCAAGCTAACAGTTTTGTTGCTTGTTCAAAGAAAGGAAACTCGTTCATGCATCACATTTGACATATTCACTGTTTTGATGATTAAAATGGGTGTGTTTCTTATTAACTTTGCGCAAGAAGTGGTTTAACAAAGACTTTTAGTATCACAGCCATGATTTAGCCTTTATTTTTATTGAACGGTATCGAAACAATTTGAAATATATCGTATCAAATTGAATGTGCACTGTATCGAGATATGTATCGTATCGGCAACTTCTTAACGATACCCAGCCTTAATCAGGAATATTCCGCAGAATGGCATTAAACTTGTCTTTTTTCATGTGTTCAACTGCACATTTTCTTGCTCAAAGATACTTTGTGAGTAGACTCTGACCTGTAAATTGGCCTGGTGGCCCCACATACTTGTCTCCATGGAGATAATGAACAGTTTTTGCAACCTCTCCATGCAGACAAGTGGACGGTGAACCCTCCACCTGAAAAGTTACATAGTGCCTCTTTAATGACAGCCTTGTGTATGGGATATTTTAATAAATATGTTTAACGACATGAATTTGATCATTAATACAAAGGAAATAAGCTTGTAACTTTCTTAAAACACATTTGCACCTTTTGTTATTCCTTTTAAATTTGCTGTCTTATAAGGACATAGGTTTCTTTCACATGATGAGGACTGTATTTTATTATCTGCTCAGTTGAGTTTACTTATCCAAAGTAGTGTCCATGCACTTAGTGACCGAGTAACTAAATACTGTGGCACCACGCCCTGTTGAGCTCTGCGTCAAAGGTAGATAAGATGTTCCTCAGTGCTACTTTAATTGCTTTGTGTCTTATTCGTTTTTGCTTATTCTTCATCAGTTAAAACCAAAAGATAGGACACCTTATCCACAAATGGAATATCATGCAGTTTTAGTTTAGCTTCTTTGCTAACTTGGAAATGAATACAGTAATGTTTAATCTTCCAGTCTGATGTTGCAAAGTTATGCATTTGTCATTTCAAACTCTTTTTTGGATACCATTTCTTTGGCAGTACACTTTGTTACACTGTTTGTGATTTCTCTGATGATGATTTGTCTGAGGTCTTAAGTTTGTGTATAATTCTCCAGCAGAGGGCGCAAGGACCCCTTCTCCTAACTAAGAGAATTAACAGCAACTGATCTATGCCACCCGCTTTTATAATGATGTAAAACTGATGTCCAGTGGTTCAAAAATGCAATTACCTGTGATGAAAACTGTATGCAGACAACAAAATAAGATGATCCACAGAAAATGTGCATTAAAGAAACAGTATGAAACTTTCTAGAGAGGGCACATCACCTGCATGCATCCCTAAAGTTAAAACAATACTTCAGAACTCTCCATGGAGATAAATAAGTTTTATGGTGTACTGTGGAATATTATAGCCAGAGGAACAACATTTCCATGGCAGGAGAAGGTCCTCCTCCAGGCTAAATAAGAGTCAGGTTTGTCAGGGTGCATGATTCTCAGTACAATAAACACAAAACAAAACAAAGACTTTTTTTTGCTTATAAAGCTACATACTGTGGCATTAAATGTCCAAATCCGTATTAAAGCAGTTTTTAGGTAATTGCGCACTCTCAGTTCTTAGATTAAAAAATAGTCTCTCCCTGTTAATGAAAAAATAAATCCATGGAAAGATGTTAAATGAATCCAGTATTTTGGATTATTGAACATCACTGACAAAAAAGATCAGCTTTATATAATTTTGAACATTTATCAGTTACCATGTCAATAATTCCTCACATTTTTACCAGGTCTGAGGGGGGCCTGAGTCTCACAAGTGGCACTTTTAACACCAAAATCAACAACAACCTCCGACACACGACGCACAAACCCCACAATAAATACAGTTTGATATTTCATTCTCATAGACTGGCTCACGAAGCAGAGACGCAAAAAACCTTGGCACTTTTCTTTTTTGAAAACAGCAGTGAGCGGGATTCATGCAGCAAGAACAAAAACAGACATTTGTGCAGAATTTGGGTAGAATTTGGTGGTACAAGCTGGTTTCCTAAAGTGGAGGCGATAGAGCCGGGGTGGGGGATCAGGCCAGGACTTTGAACCCAGTGTTTGCGTTGTGGTTTGTGGGGGTGGATCATTAAAAAGGTGTCTGGTTCTTGGTCTGTGGCGAGAAGTGGACATCAGCCCTGGAAGACGAAAAGCAAAGATGTGATTAGAGCAGAAGACAAGACCTACTAGATGTGTGCGTGAGAAATAAGACGTCCAATATTACGCAAATTTGACTCTTGTGAGCTTTAAGTCATGTTATAATGTTGTTGCCTCATCAAAAAAAATACCCAGATTTGTGTTTTGTTTCATTCACACATGTTTGAGTAAGACTTTATTATTAGTCTGGATATATCTCCAACACTTAACTGCTCGTTTCCACCTTGTGTAACAGCTATCTTTTATCTTTAATTAAGTAGAGATTGGACTAAGGTTATCCAAATGATTCTAGTGAAAGTGTAGATGTGGATTTTAAAAACACAATAAGCTTAGAATTACAATACAAGACTACAGTTATCGCAGATGGTGCGTACAAGTGAAAACATTTTGCATTCATGACGATTTTACTTTATTTTATTTTAATGGATCACATGACAATTCCAGTAATAGCATTTTCAACATTCTGAAACTGCTACTGTAGATCAAAAACAACACATTTTGATTGTTTTCTTGGGTGCTTGTGCAAAGTTGGGAAGTTGTACACATGAGAGAGAGAGATGAAAGACACAAGGCAAAGTCCATGACCAGTCTGCGAGGTCAGATGGGTTGTGGTCACCAGAGTTTCCTCATTTTAAAAAAAACCAAAAAAACAGACACACACACACACACACGTGCACACACACACACACCGTCTACTACTCCTGTCTGCTGCTCTGAACTGGGCTAAAGGTGAAACATGACTATGGCAATACTCTTTCCTGACTCAAACACTAAAATCACTAATTGGCTATTAACAAAATATATTGCCTTTAAAGTTAAGTTTTTTAGTATTTATTAAACTGTTAACCATGTATTTTAGACTTCTACACATGTTCTTAAATGTGTGGTATTGTTGTATTAATTGGCGGTTAAAATTGTCTTTGCTCAAATTGATGAACATTTGAAAACATAAATTATAAATCTAGTCAGAGTACTTGTTTGAATACTTTAAATTAGATTACTGATGGACAACATAGCAATTCAAACAGCGATATTAGTCCATATGTGTGATTTCTCTATTGTTGTTATTCATGTGACATAGAGCTTCCCAAGTTTTTAGAGCTGGTATATTTTTCTAAACCGCCCTAGGGTCCGTGTGTACCCAAGTGTTCTTTCCCATTTGAAAACGGAACACAATCAATCATTTTTTTTCAACAGTGCAAAGTAAAATTCTGAACTTTAGTACAATTTCTTAGACTTGCTGTTTTCAAATATTAATATTTCAAATATTATAAAATAAACTGCACTTTCCTAGCAGCATACTTTTACTCCTACTTGTGTACTAATTTTATTGAAATAACTTACTTGAGTAAAGATTTTAGTTTCACTTCCCACTGTGAATAAGTCTAGGTGACAAAAGCTTTATATTGACAGTATGAAATGATTTGAATATTTGTGTTTATTGCTCTGCTCCTTGAGACATGATTTAGTTTGTCTAATTTTAATACATATCCATAAAAAATACCAGATTTTGTGCCTTATTTAATGTTTTGTCCTTCAAATTAGATTAACTTCATATTATAAATCAGTTACTCTTAAACTTACTTGAGTAGTACTTTTTTCACTCTTACTTAGGTGATTTCTCAAACCACAACTTTGTACTTCTACTTGAGTATTATTATTCTGAAGTAACGTTTCTCTTACTTGAGTACAGTTTTTGGTTACTCTACCCACTTGTGTTGTTTTTGTTGTTTCCACAATTGTTCTCCATTAGTTTAGTAGTATTGCTGAACATCCTGTCGAACACAAACTGTAACAAACCCCCATATTAAATCAATTTTTGAGTGTCAAGTCACAAGACAGAACCAAAGCGTGGTAAGAGCTCACTTCAGGGTGCTACCTCGATCATTAGCCTACGATAAAGGCTTATAGTCACTGCACAGAGACCCCTGTGAGCTTCTTCAACTCCAGCCACGGCCCCTCTCATCTTTGATCACCAACACACACTGAAAAGCTCGGGTCTTATCGCGCCTCTCTCTCCCCCTCCTTCTCTCTCTTTCTCTCTTCCTCTCTCTTGCTCTTGCTCTCCCTCACTCTGCCCCCCCCCTCTTCTGCTCTCACTCTCCTTCTCCCTCACTCTGCCTCTCTCTCCCTCTCTCTTTCTCCCTCTCTTTGTCTCCCTTTCACTCACTCTGCCGCCCCTCTCTCTTACTTTCTTTCTCCGTCTCTTCCTCTCTCTCGCTCCCCCTCTCTTAATCCCCCTTCTTCTCTGTCACTCTCCCTCACTTTGCCAACCCCTTCCTCTCTCTCACTCTCCTTCTCACTCACTCTGCCCCTCTCTCTTTCCCTCTCCCACTCTGCCTCTCTCCCTCTCCTTCTCACTCACTGTGCCCTCTATCTTGCCTTCTCTCCTTCTCACTCACTTGGCCCTCTCTCTTTCCTTCTCTCCTTCTCACTCACTGTGCCCTCTATCTTGCCTTCTCTCCTTCTTACTCACACTGCCTCTCTCTCCCTCTCTCTTTCCTTCTCTCCTTCTTACTCACACTGCCTCTCTCTCCCTCTCTCTTTCCTTCTCTCCTTCTTACTCACACTGCCTCTCTCTCCCTCTCTCTTTCCTTCTCTCCTTCTTACTCACTCTGCCTCTCGCTCACTCTGCTGCCCCTCTCTCCCTCTCTCTTACTTTCTTTCTCGTCTCTTAATCTCTCTCGCTCTCCTTCTCACTCACTCTTCCCTCTCTTTCCTTCTCTCCTTCTCACTCACTCTGCCCTCTCTCTTTCCTTCTCTCCTTCTTACTCACTCTGCCTCTCGCTCACTCTGCTGCTCCTCTCTCCCTCTCTCTTACTTTCTTTCTCGTCTCTTAATCTCTCTCTCTCCTTCTCACTCACTCTTCCCCTCCTCTCTCTTTGTCTCCCTCTCACTCACTCTGCCCCCTCCCTCTCTCCCACTCTGCCTCTCTCTACCTCTCTCCCCCGCCCTCCCTCACCCCCCCAGCCTCCTCTTATGCTGTCTCTCCCTCTCTTACTCTTTCTTCCCATCTCTCTCCCTTTTTCTCCCACCGCCTCACTTGCTCTCTCTGTCTCTTTCCTTCTCTCTCCCTCAGTCTTACTCTTGTCTCTCTTTCTCTCTCTCCATTTTTCTACCTCTGTCTCTCTCTCTCTCTCCTTCTCTCTCTGTCTTTCACCCCCCCCCCCCCCCCCTCCTTTACTCTGTCTCTCTCCTTCTCCCTCTCTCTCTTCTCTTCTCTGTCTCTCCGTTGCATTGCAGACATTAATAGCTGTATGGCACTGCATGTGTGTAGAGTTTGATCTGTTGAGCGCATTGATGTTGAATCTTTTATACAGAAATCGCCTGCCTGCCCTCGCTACTTCATCGCTATAAAGGAAAAATAACTCAATTACATATTTCAGGATTCAAGTGTCACGAATAAGATTGGATTTTAGAATATAATAAGGCCTGTAGATAAAAAAAAAAGCAGTGAGCAAAATAGACTCAAAACACTCAGAAGATATTGCGATACTACTTCCAATTGGGATGAGGCAGATGTTGTATTTAACTGCCTAGAATTAAACAGAAAAAAAACTCATGTGTTTATTGGCAGCGCAGAGTTGGACATTACTCAGGTTGACAAGTTTATAAAAGGTAAAAAAGGAAATGCCTTGCTCTATTAGTCAGACTGGAGATGCGTCCAAATGATCCATGTGGCATTTCTGTGGGTGTGAAACTGGTTTACCTGGCATCATCATTATCAGTTAGAAAGAAGAATATAGAATCTAGGGTTGTCAAAAGTCTTGAAATCAGATACTAATCAATACTAAATTTGAGTAGGTGTCACTACTAAACAAGTCACATTCAGAGCATAGAAATGAACCTTTCCTGAATAGCTTTAGAATGATCTTGAGCTGTATCAGAACAAGTATAAGAGCATAAAGAATATATATACACCCATGAACCACTATAGAACCTACCTGGTAAAAAGTAAAAAATAATAAGTAAAAATTCAGTAGTTTTTGTAGTGCTGTCAAACGATTAAAAAAAAGAATCACATTAATCAAATTTTTGAAATTTGATTAATCACGATTAATTGCATTTGCACTGATTTTAATGTTACAATTTTAAACTTTCCACTTTGTTTTTTTTTTTAAACAAAAATTACTCTACAAATCAAAATGAATTATTTTAAAGCACAATTGGCTAAAATTTAAATTTAAAAATTGCATTTCATAATTAATTTGTGTGCCAAAGCATTTTCCAGGTTAATGTAGATGACCAAATAACAGGTTTAATGGGGTTAAAGGCCCTTCATCACTGCTTGCTGGCTCTTATTGTGCCAGATACACGCTGTTGGAGTTGGCCTGGTTTATTCCAGTGGTCTGTAGGAGTTTGGTGAAATTTGGCCCATTTTATTCATTTGGATCTAATCACGTTTTCCGCTCCATGTTCGTAGAGAGCCACTGATTGTTCTGTGCTCGTCCATGTGAGTACTGATAGATTTTTTAAGAATGTGTACATTTATCGACATATAATCAGCGCAGCTCATGAGCACTGCTGTCAGGTAAACCTCCCTGCCCAATTTACGTGCATAACTGGTCAAAACAGAAAGTGTGATTAATGTGCTTTAATTGCTGGATGATGCGTCAGTTTGTTTTGATTAATCGCATGCGTTAACACGTTAATGTTGACAGCCCTAATTTTTTGGTACATGTAAAAATGATTCACAAGTTTAATCTGCCTTTACATAAATAGATAGTTTGCTAGTAGCTTTTTCTGCATGAATTGTTTTTGTATGAACTCCCATGCAGCTGCATTGGGTTACATACTGTACACAGAGATACTTAGTAATTTTGAGAGCTTTGCCATGCCTTCTTTTTAGTCGACACGAGACACGTCGACCAAGAATTTCTTTGATTTAGTCGACTGCTAACACACAAAAAAGGTAATGTCTAGGTCTACTTACCATATTTTGAATTCCAAACATACATCTTGGAGTAGTCTAACCTAGTCAATAATACTAACAAAGTGAACCAGTGCGTCATGTCTGCCCCAAGGACATAACATCAGCACAAATTAGAGCTAACTGCATCATGACATCACAAGGTGGAAAAGAGCATTTTGAGCTTTGGAGATGTAAACAGACTAATAACGAAGGCTTCTTCAAACATGTGTAAATGAACTAAAACACAACTCTGGGTATGTTGTTGAGGAGGAAACATTATTATAAAATGGCTTAAAGCTCACAAGAATCCATTTTGTGTAATATTAGACCTTTCTGAATTCCAAACATACATCTTGGAGTAGTCAAACCTAGTCAAAAATACTAACAAAGTGAACCTGTGTGTCATATAACATCAGCACTACGGGGAGCACCTCAGAGCCTACATATTTCAAACATGCTTCACCATCTTTAACACATTTGGACAGTGCTAATACCTCATCTAATGCCTGTAGTTAAGTGCTTGTTTGGCAAAGTGCCGGTGTGGGCGTGTGTGAAGAAGAGGCTATAAAACTATTTACCTTTTCTGTTTTATGGCGTGCTCCTCTCCCCCTCTCTCTTCTCTTCTCTTCTCTTGTGGTGGATCTCTGTAGTCCATAGTCCGAGTCCCACATCCAGCTGCTCCTCTTTGTCCACAAAAAACATTATGTATCATTGAATCTCATTTAAAAAAGTCCTTCATCAATACCATTAAAGTGCGTCTTTTCAAAACTAATACTGACATACCCATGAGCTGTTAATTTGAGTTAAAAATGGTGAAATAATCGCTATTCAAAGCATTTAATACTTAACAGAAATAACAATAATATTAATAACTATTTATATTAACAAAAATAGCCAGTTATATATTAATTTTAAATTCATATTCACATAGTTATAGCCACACTTCAAACTTATTAAAGGTGCATTGTGTAACTTTTCTCGTGGAGGGCCTCGTCAAATGTTTTTCTCTATGAAGATGTTATTTCTTTGCCTGGAATATTTCACCCTTTGGTATTAACCTTTTCTATATTCATATAAACCAAACCAGACCACGTTACGGGTCAGATCTGTGGAGAGGCGACCCCACTCACAGTGAGAATGCCTGTTTTCTAGGTATTTTTGCGCTATAAAACCACCTGTAATTTAATAGTTATAAGGTAAAGCTGTTTCATTCCATACTGTGGAACATTCCAGGCAGAGCGATGACGAAACAAGCAGGTGTCGGACCCCAACCAAAAAGTTACACAGTGCACCTTTAAATAATGATTAGTTCACCATTTTAAAAGTCGCTGGTGTGTACTTTTAGTCTCTTGGTTCAATTAAAAACACCGCAAACCAAAGTCCTCCTCGGGTCTCGGTTCACTAAATATTTATAAAGACTGAATGACACTCTTTAAAAATGCATAGGCCATCTGTGTAGTTGTCAGTGCAAACAAACTTTGGCTAGCTGCCCTTCGGTTCCCTCATCACGCCCAAATATGGAGTCCCTGTAGCGCTCCCATTATGCACTGTACTCCTGTGTCGTCAAAGTGGTCTTCACGTTTAGTCCCGTTTGTGCTTGTGATTTTAAAACTGCATAATGACGTTGTGTTCCTCTGGGCTGGATTGCGATGAGGTAGAATTATTAGTATCCGATTTTTATTTTTTTGTGTGGAATTGGAAGCAGGAATGTCTGTTTTTGTAAATGTACCTCAAAATTCAACTCATTGCATTAGTCCTTTGCAATGATAAACCTAAAATAACAGGCACTTAAGCACCAGACTTTTAAAAATGTAGTCCTCCCACCACCAGGCGGCACTACACAGAGCTCTCGTCCGGCCTGGGTAGTATCTGCGTGTGTTTCCTCTTTTCTAAAATCTTATTCAGCTCATCTGTGAATGAATATCCATTTGGTGACGTGTTGGCAGAATCAGTCTGTCTTAGCAGCACGTAGCTATTTCCGTTTATCCGTCGTAGCATGCTAGGCAGTGTCGCCGAAAGCCCGTTAGGGAAGTCACAATCAGGAGACGTGTGATTGGGCGTTGGCGGGAGGGGCGGGGCCGGCGGCGGTGAATCCCTGTTGAACGTTGTGTGCCCTTCTCCCGGCACGATCTGAAGAAACCCGCCGTTTTGAATATCTCCGTTGTGATGCTTCGCGCTGCCGTTGGCGTAGCCGTTACAATGCGACGAGATCGTTTTCAGCTCCATGGTAGCGGAGTTTCGGTGCTTCCTGTTTTTGTTTACTCTTTTGTTGCTAGGATACGCGGCAGCAGCGGCGCGCAATGAGTACTTTCCCCTGTTGCCGACGCGTAGACAGAATCCGACATAAAGAAGCACCACGGTTAGCACGACGCACAGACCGCCCAGAATGGTGATTAGCGTCAGGTACAAAGCTTCCATGTTTTGCGGATCGAGGAGTGTGGTGGTCAGGCGTGGTGCAGGGGGTGGAATTAGAGGTTGCTCCGTTGCAATCGGCTCCTCAGGTGATGGTAACGTGTATATGCTTAAATCCTCGGTTAGTTCGATATTTTTCACAGTAGGCGTGTCCACTTCAACTGTGATGTTGTAGGATATGATGGGCACACGTATGTCATTCTCCACGCTGTAGCAGGTGTAGCGCCCGCTTTGGTCGGATTTGGCGTCGATGATGAGCAGGCCGTCGTTGCCCGTGCGGACCCCCGAGCTGAGGCCGTAGCCCGTCAGGTCACGTCCATCCTGGGTCCACGTGGGCGACGCCAGGTTAGAGGTGAGCTCACACTGGAGGAGGACATCATCGCCGACACGCACCGATCGACTCTTCTCCATCACCACTGGAAAACACAGGGATATACGGTTAGTCTAATAGATTTATACTAGTCGTCTTGAATCAGGGGTCACCAAACGTTGACCACATTATTGCTCCTGGCTGTGATGGGAGGCCGTATAACAGAACTGTATGACCCTGATGACGCAGATTATATTCTTTGAAAACCGCCACACTTTCTTTACATATCAGACAAACTGCACAGTCCTTACGCTGAACAAAAAATTATCGGCCGGCCACTGTCTCGGTACTATCTGTCAAGTTTTCGTACTTGAAAACTAGTCATTTTGCTGCACTACAGAACTCTGCATGTGCGTTTACTGTCACTGTTTGATCTCAAGCTTGTCAGGTGACGAACATTTGGCGGCAATGTAAATACGGCATATAATTATTTAAATATAAACATAAATACTTCATATTAAAAAAAACAAAACAAGATGTAGACGTGTTATTATTTGCCAAAAAGTAAAAAAAAGACCAGGCGTGGCAGGCCAGAGTCATCCCGTGGGCCTTAGTTTGATGACCCCTGTCTTAAATGGTTACTGATACGAGTTGGGTGCTCCAAAATCAGGATTATTATCTCATATTTGGCATTTCTTCTTATAATAAGTGATGTCATTATGTCAAATTTCCGTGCTGTCTTATCACCCTTACTATATGTTAATAACAGAGAAAAACTGTTTCCCTATAGATAGGACTTATATAAAACTTTATACTTATATAAAAGGCAGGTGCCCAGGTGTTGCACATGGACTGTATGAAGAAGACCAAAAAGAGGAGCCTGACAGCAGCAGTTACAGAGAGAGGGACGATGTTTTTTAAATTCAAAGTGAATTGGTGCCAGAGTCGATGGATCAAGAAGCTCCCATTCCATATATTTATTTATTGTGGGTATATTTCTTTGTACTAATAGGGAACTTTTTGTGATTTTTCTGTGCTTTAATAATATGTGAGCAGTTGAATAAATAACTTCTATGACTTAGATACAAACTACTTAAGTATTCTACTATTTATTTATTGCGGCTAATGTTTTAATAACAATATTGTACATTTAGAACAGTTGGGGATGATCCTACTTTACTGCGAGTGGTGTAATTTAATTCAAATATTTTCTTCAACAATATATATCGCACATCAAGTTATCGTTATAGTTACTGTGACATGCCTATTATTAACATTTTATAATTACTTAATCCAGCCATTTTATTATCACAATTTATTCATACAACATCCAAATCTCCAAATCTCCAAATGTCCAAACCATATTTCCTCTATTATCCAACATACCAAGTTAAATGATGGACAAATCTGACTAATTAAAATCCAGTCATTATGGTCACACATATTAAGTAACTTTGCTCCATTTTTCACACATGACCATCTGTTGCTTAGGCTGGGTGTCGCTAATTATCTCACCATGTCTGTGTTTATATTGGATCTCCGGCACTGATTTGTGGAGCTTCTCAAAGTTGCAGTTCACTTCTCACCATGAGACCGGATCACTCTCCCTGGGCCCCACCTGTACCCTGCTCCCTGAGAGGTCTGCATTATTTATGTGGCTCTATTTGGCGAACTTTGACCAAGATCAAAAGTTTTCTCCATAGACTGTATATATAAATGGACATAGTTAATTTGCTAGCCGCCGCGTTCCAAACAGGAAGGGAGCACTTTGTATTGAAAAAAACAACACCCCTCTCTCTGTAACTGCTGCTGTCAGGGTCCTCATTTGAGTTGTAAAATGTTCATATTAACTCGCTCTACATGATCCAGGTGTTATTATTTTGCACGATAATTGCTACCCTTGGTGAGCTTTATTTGACTGGAGCTGAATATTATGGGTGTCATCATACTCGCTTTATACAATCTGTGGTTTTCTCTATCTGATTTGACATGTGGTTATACAGGATAGTTATATGTGAGATATAAATGTACTTTCATGAGATATTTCATGCTGGAATCTCACTTTCTTATTTTTTCTTTTTTTTTTTATCTGCTTTTATTCTGTAATATTCATCCTTTAGGGTTGGCAGATGTATTCCATTTTATTATTAATTTTAAGACAAGTCAAATTAAGGCAAGTAGGATACAAAACAACACCCTACAACTTTGCAAAACTGATGCGATGTGCAGCAGTTGCGTTCGTAGAATGTGTGCAGATTGTGTGTGGTAGCGCTCAGAAGGGGGAGTGACTTAGCACGAGGAGGAGGGATAAAATGTAATATTCCTTCTTCAATAAAGCTAGGCACAAAAAGGATATTTTTGATTATGTGTCAGTGTTTCTAGTAGGGCTGGATATCATTAAGAAGTTGTCGATACGATATATATCTTGATACACAAGCCACGATACAATACATATCTCGATACAGTGCACCTTCGATTCTATAAGATATATTAAAAATCTATTTGATACGGTTCAATAAAAATAATGGCTAAATCATGAGTACGGTACTAAAAGTCAAAAAACAACTCTTGTGCAAAGTTAATATGAAACACACCCATTTAATCATCAAAACCCGTGAAAATGTCAAATGTGTCGCATAAACAAGTTTCCTTTCTCTAAACAAGTAATAAAACTGTAGAGCTGAAACTAAATAATTTAATAAAATATATCAAAAAATACTCTTCACCATATATCGATACTGCAGCCCACGATATCGATACTGTATCATCACATTAAACGTAGATAATTTTGCACACCTGTAGTTTCTAGGGTGCAACATTCATAAAATTACAACTGAAATTCACACATGTAATTTCCCTGACCGCTACATAATTAGAATTTTAATCTTCTCCACTTTCCATGTTTCCCATTGTTTCCTTATTAGACAAGTCACTCAAATGGCCCTTTAAAGTTGCATTGTAATAAGTGTAAAAATATAAAACCACTTCGCTAATGAAGGGTGAGCAGATGTCCCTATTTACCAAGACAGTTTCAGTTTTGAGCTCTGTGTCCCCTGTCCCAGCAGATTTATCCAAAACTATTGATTTGTCTCATGTTTTATACAAGAAATGTCCCAGGTGTCCCTATTTTTGACCAATCTGATCCCTGCTAACAGTAAAGAGAGGCATAAATTGTCATTTGTTTAGGTAAAATACAGAAAAGCTGCTTAAAAATCACCAAAACACAAAGAAAATGTGACTATAATGACTCACATTAGTGCCGAGTGCATAACAATTTTCCTTAATTACACACTCATTGGCACACCAGGGATGTCCCACTTTTTTTATTCTGAAAAATCTGGTCACCCTAAGTTAATGTATTTGTACACGAGGAGGAGGAGGGGGGATATTTGTTAGCGTAGCGTCTGATGTAGCGTTTATAATAGCGCTAATGAACAATGGCTGACTGATGCCGCTCTCTAATTGGACCAGAGCAGACACAAGTTTGATGAGTAGACGCTAAAGGTTGATTAGCCAATTGCGACACTCATTTCTCCGTACAAACGCGCCTATTTACAATCTTTCATAATTAGCTTGACTTATAGCGTGAGCAAGCGAGCCTCCGACATGTGTTATTTCCTAATTACGGCTTTCAAATGAGTCCGGATCGGTTTAAAATGTGCAAGGCGAACTCCGGTGTCATGAAAGAACAATGAGCGGGCAGATACGATGGCTACATTTGAACAGATTGAGAGCGCGAAGTGAGAAGAGGCATTAGTCTGCCCCGAATACAAAGTAGAGTCCTCTGCCGTGATAGCAGAATGTGATTCAAGAGGAGTGAAGAAGAGTTAGCGAGCGTACTATGCCTAATCAACTTTCAAAGAAGGAGCTCTCATGACAAGTTAGCATCGCTGTCCCCCGCAGAACCACTCCTCATTTTTAATGGCTGTTTATCATGTGTAGAGAGAATTTTCTGGGAGACGTACTAGATTTTTTGGGCAGTTTTTTGTGTTTTTATTCGTTTTTTTTACCTTGATGATAGTTTTCACATCCTCGGCTGCCATGTTGGATGTCCTGGATTAAAGCAGATCTGTGGATATAAACAGAAATAATGGTGAAAATACATACAGGTAAAAGGACAGCTACACACCGTAATGATATGCTCTATTACGTAGTACATATTCTACAAACAAAATAAGGTATAAACATAGACTGTATATTCTCTGTACAGTCTATGGGTATAAGGCAGGGATCTCTAACCTTTTTCCTCCAGTGAGCTACCTTTACAAAAAGAAAATGCCAAAGAGCTAATCATCATGATTTTCAAAACTCAAAACTGGGATACACCCGGGTTGGGATGGTTGGTATGAAAAAAATTGTGAAAAGAGCATGCAACATAATCTGAGGGACTTCTGACACTGTATTTTTCACTTTATTGTCATTTTCTGTATTTTGGCTAAACAAACGATAATTTACTGATGATGTAATCCTGATTTAGTCTTAGTTTAGTCCTGGTTTAGATCAAATTGGTCAAAAACAGAGACACCTGGGATATGTCTTGTATAAAACTGGGACAAATCACTGGTTTTGGATAAATGTGCTGGGACAGGGGACACAGGGCTCGAAACTGGGACTGTCCTGGGTACCATATTTTCTGCAGTATTGGGCGGTCTGGATTATAAGATGTACTGTCATAGAATGGTCTATTTTCAAACTTTTTTTTTCAAGTAAATCGCACTGGACTTTAAACAAACAACAGTTAGATGGTTCAGTCGGACTTTGTTTGGCGCGTTCACGGTGACTCTGGGCTTTGTTCAATTGTTGCCTGTATGGCGGGTGCTGTCTGGGTCCGCTGGATTGTTGGCGTGTTCGCAGTGACTCAATTGTTCAGTTGTGGCTAGAAGTGGCACATTGCACTCGCTTTTTTGGTTCGTTCCTCCGTTCCATTCTTGTCGGCGTGGAGTGATGAGTGTGGTTGTGGGTGTTTTTCGCTACGCGGTCGCTGTCTGCTCCGTGTGTGTTTGCGTGCGCAGCGTGTAGTGCGGCTTTGTAGTTTACTGAAGTCGTGCTGGGACACCCGAGTGGATTCGTGTATAGGGTGCTCTGGATTGTGGGGCGTGCAGTCGTTTTTTGATGGAACGCGCCCCATAGTACGGAAAATACGGTAAATAAGGACGTCTGGTCACCCTATTAAGCGGTTACAAGAAACTGAGGATAGGAAAGCATTAGGTGGGGAACAACTAGATATAAAACATAAACCTTTATCCATTTATTAGTGCACAAAGTTAGGTAGTAATTACTTAGTTTAATTAGTTAATTCAGAAATCCCTTGGTGAGCTACTTCGAAGGAGGTGGAGCTACTGGTAGCTCCTGAGCTACAGGTTGGAGACCCCTGGTATAAGGTATCGCATGTCTTTAGCATATCTTTGTCTCTTCATCACAATGTAAACAACAATAACTCTAAATGTTGTTATAATAGGATAAAAAGCTTGTTCTAGAGAAAAGCAAAACTAAAAGTGTTAAGTTTTAATGTTTTGTGTAGTATATTTGACTGAATATTCCTAGTTGTCATTTTGAATATTAAAATTGGTAGAACCGAGCCAAAGAAATCTATGCAAGTTAAAATAATTTGAACCAGTTTTGACACATTTTAATTAGATTGTTTATTTGAATTAAAATAACATAACAAAAGTAAATGCTGTATGTATTAAGTATCTTATTTGTAAGTGATTTTTTTTTTTTATGCCATTAGCAAAAAATTTATTTAGAATTTAGTAATTTTGGCAAATGTAAAAATTTGTTTTGCAGTGTCTATTTGGAATTTGGATGAAAAAATAAGAAAGAAGTAGTTCTGACAAATTTGAATGTATGTATTCATAGTTGTATTATCTATTATGTTTTTAAATTGATTTTTTTCATTAACTAATAAATATTTGTAATTTTATAATTTTAACAGTTACAAAAAAATCAGTTTTTCAGTGTATACTGGAATTGATATTTGGTTGGATTTTCAGAACTAAATTTCTAAAGAGCAGCTTTGTTCTGCACATATTTACCAACCACATATCAATCCAGATTAAATCAATAGCCCTCATACATATTTTCTCTTTGGCACTTTCACCAGATACTCACGTTCAAATCTCCTCTAACCCAGCTCTTGTCAGGCCTGACCCAGATGCCTTATATCACTGGCTGTGCTTTGATTAGCCAACACTCAGTCGCTGCTTTTTCAGTCTTTTACTGCCCACATAATCGCACTGTACCAAGACGTCATCTCTATCATGTTTTATCAGAACTCAGCCTCACGCCATGTTCAGTATCTTTGTCCAATCACGTTTGAGCCACTGTTTTGGTTACACAACGGCCCTGGGACAAGTCATGTGATTTATTTTTATTTTATTTACTTCACTCATAAACTTTTAATGTTTAACATACAAAGAAATAATGAAACAGGAGAAAAAAGTAGAGAGATCTTATGTTATCGGCCTCTTTTTCCAGACAATAAAACTGTACATAATATTTAGATTTCATGAACTTAACCTGACTTTGTCCACACATACGGAGTAAACATATTCAAATCAAACACAGCTTTTACTGACTGTAATGCTGATTTATTCTTAATTAGAAAAACACTGAACACAATGTTTATGTTATAATTTGGTGTTTCAGTTCTCAAGAGGATTATCCAATCAGAAGGCAGAATGAGCCTCACATAAGTCTCTCATTTGGATTGCCAGTTTCAATGCTGAAGTCCAGTTGATTTGAATTGAAGAGGACTCTCTCTGATCTGAACGGTCACTGCCTAAACTCCAGCGCCAGCAGCCATGAATGAGTGCTAGTGCAGCCTTTGCAGCTCAGTGAAAGAATTCTGGAGGTTCTGAGATTTCACACAAGGCATGGCAACATATAAGAGTCCTCTATCTGAGCTGAGGCACTGGCAACCGAGGGTTGTTCTAACTTTTTAAAAACTGAGCACAGGCTACACACAGTGCTTTAAGACTAAACATATCAGTTTAAATCACAAACATGAAATAATTGCAAATATATTCTCAATAACCTACTTTTGGTGATATACAAAACCACCCTGTCTTATGTCCTGTACCCACCTGTTATCCACATGCAGGATGTCCACACAGCTGTCCCCGTCCCAGGCGCAGTGGGGGTCTCTGGAGAACACGCAGTCGTAGCAGGACGTGTAGCGATGGCAGGTGGACAGGGGCAGCTGGAGCACACCTGACGGAAAGCTCACATACACACTCATCTGTGCAGAACGAGATGGGGCTTTTGTCAATGAAATGATGCTTCATTATGGATCACTGCAGTAGTAATTAGTGACGCAAAAAAAACTCTAGTAAGATATAGCTACTCAACTAATTAGTTAAACTAAATCATTGTTAGTTGGAGCCCTAACAAGAACTGCTTTGCTCTTCAGGAAGTGCATCCTGTGAGAAAGACGTTAGGTTCATTTGTCTTGTGGGCTCCACATGACTGTTTTACCCACACATTAAGATGAGTGCTCTTCAAACTGTAAATGCAACTGTCTGTTTCTGACCCAAAACACATGTCTTATCAGCCAAACCACACAGCTACAGGAAGTTTGTGTACACAAGACACACTTATACCTATCAGCTTTAACTAAACTCTTGATAATTGTTATTTAGCCTTGCTGCTGGACCAGTGTAATACAATGGCATGTTTTTTCTATTCTGTTCTTCAAACTGGCAAAAGATGAGTAACATTTTTGCATTTCTGTGCTAAAGCATAACACTCAGATCATCATGTTACCTTTTATTGTTTTGAAAATGCTGTATTTGCCTAAACATCTGCCCTCCCCCTTACACTACACTAAGTCACTCCTCCTTCAGAGCACATCGCATCAGGTTTATCAGGTTATAGTGTATTGTTTTGTGTCCAGGGTTTGTATTTATTTATCTTACAGTTAACTGCAAGGAAGGTTCAAATAGGGCCCGGGAGAGATCACTGCATTACTTAAACATGCATGTATGACATCTAAAACCTCTTCAGGCATGTTTTTGATGAGGAAATGTAACATGGTACATACACATATTTCTACAGTAAATGCATTCATCAAAATAATCCTCTTTTTTTTTTTTTTTTTTTTTTAAACCACTTGTCAGATTTGTGCATGTGACTTGTGGTTGCCCCGGTGACAGCGGACTGACCTGCTCTGTGGAGATGAGGACACTGCTGACAGGCTCTGGCTCCTCCAGCAGCTGCAGCTCCTCTATTATGTGCAGCTGACCCTGGACTTGGACAGCCTTGTGCAACCAGCCGTCATCTGAGGACCGCAGAGAGGCAGTGTGTCATATTAGAGAACAGGAAGTCCCTCATTTATTACAATAACAGTTTCACACCATTTTTGCAGATCTTTTTCCTTCAGTAGACTGTGAAAGACTCATTCTTGTCTTTGTCAAATTATCCCAAGCTCTACAAAAAGGCTTCATGGGAGTTTCTGGTTTTAGGGCCTAATTAAGTGATAATTTCATAACCATTTCATTCTATTCTATTGAGTGTATAAATGTATTTTGGCAGTGGTGGAAGAAGTACTCATTTGTGTTACGTAAAAGTACAAATAACAGAGCAAAAATATACTCAAGCAAAAGTATCACATGAAAAAAATCTACTTAAGTAAAAGTATTAAAGCACCTGTCTTAAAATGTACTTAAAGAGTAAAAAGTAAAAGTATTTCATGCAGATTTTGAGCTTTGAATTTGAATCTACTGTTTTTCTTTGTACATTTTTGTTAGCTCAAACTACAAACGTGTTAAAAAATAACCCCTCAGCCTTTTCTCTAGCAGGGCTCAGACATTAATAAAAATATTTTTACTTTCTACAAATAATTAACCATACAATTGATTTATTTATTCTTCCCTCTACAGCTGAAATCTTGCCTTACTACTTAAAAATTGTGAAAGATTTGTGAAATACTCATCCTTGTCTTTGCCATAATTATCCAAATTGCTACAAAAGGCTTCATAGGAGTTTCTGGGTTTATTGCCTAATTAAGTGATAATCTAAATCTCCAGAGGCAAACTATTTCCTTATCAAAACAAATAGACTCTGAACTTCAAATCCAGCTTTGGTATGACAGTGCAAATTGGATTACTTTTCCAAATCTTGCAGTTTTGTAATTTCTGTGTAATTTGGTTAATTTCAGTGTTTTAGAAATTTTCCACATTGTGTACTCAGAAAATATTTAGCCTTCTGATTACAACCAGATCGAAAACAGGTCTAAAGCTAAAACTAACTTGCAATAGTACTTTAAAAAAATGACTAACCCACAGGTGGATGGTGTATAGATACAACAAACTCTTACTTCACACACGTACCACTCTTTGAAAAGCACCGCTCTATTTGAGTAATTTATGTAACTATTGCTTCAACATTTTGCATTTTATTGAGTCACAGGTTTATTTGGATGGGACAGTCAGCAAACGGTCAAAGCCAAGAATCGATTTCACAAATAGAACCAGGCATGTGGCAGCTGTGACCAAACCCCTAGACCATCCTGCATAACTGTATACTGCAGTGGCAAGGCAAGGCAGATTTATTTGTATAGCACAATTCGTACACAAAGTAATTCAAAGAAACATTAAATGAAAGAGAACAACTATTTTCTTTACAGTTATGCAACTATGAGCAACAATGTAGACGTTGTAGCTGGGCCTGTCACAATAATGCAGTTTGAAGCATGATATATTACTACAGAGAAATATTGCGATATAAATTTTGAAACTACTTTATGCCACTGACACAACGCAGGATAATCCCAGTAAACCAGTTTCATCAAAGGTCCCCTATATTACGCAAAATTGACTCTTGTAAAGCTTTAAGTCACTACTGTTCTTACCTCATCAAAACATATGTGGAGTTTTGTTTTGTTTTGTTCAGTTGTTTGAGTAACCCTGGATTATTACTCTGTCTACATTTCTAAAACTCAAAATGCTCTGTTCCACATTGTGATGTCATGTAGTGGTATTTCGCAAATGAACAGCAAACTTTTACCTTTTGTTTAGTAGAGATTGGTAATTCCAGGGTTGATCATCCAAATTATTCTATTGAAGGTATATGGAGTTTAAAAACACAGTGGAGCACTTCCTGTATTACCACATGACATCACAAGGTGGAACAGAATGTTTTCTGTTTGAGAGAAGAACTAAGCCTAAATATACAGGATTACTGTGTTAAACATGTGAATAAAACAAAAAACAACTCCAGATATGTTTTTAATGAGGAAACAACATTATAACATAAATCTGAAAACAGTGTGGGCTTTTTAAAATGCCTGAGCTGTAACAGACAAACAGCAGAATGAACCAATAATAATTAGCTCAGCTCTTACCTCACTACAAAAAAATTGAAAAATATCCACACTTTTGCAAAGGAATTGTGAAATCCTTATCCTTGTCAAAATTATTCAAAGCGCTACAAAAGGCTTCATGGGAGTTTCTGGTTTTATTTCCTAATTAAGTGATAATCTACAGCTCCAGAGGAAAACTATTTCTTTATCAAAACAAATCGACTCTGAACTTCAAATTCAGTGATGCTATGGCAGTGCAAATTTGATTTCTTTGACAAATCTTGTAATTTTGCAATTTCTCTGTACTCTGCTCCAAATTTTCCACAATGTGAACCCAGAAAATATTTAGCCTTCTGATTACAACCAGATCTAAAACAGGTTGAAAACAAAGACTATTCTAGGTCTAAACTAGGGCTAAATCTGGTCTAAATTGGGACTACAAACTTGCTAAAAACTTAGTGCACATACCACCATTTGAAAAGCACTGCTCTTATTTTATTAATTTATTTAACTGTTGTTCCAATATTTTGCTTTCTGTTGGCTCACAGGTTTATTTGGATGGGACCGTAAGAACCATGAAGTAGGAGTAGAGAGCAGGGAGAGACAGTCGCAAACTGTCAAAGCCAAGAATCGATTTCACAATCATTAAGGCTTGGACCCATTTTCACATAAATACTGCTCTGTCTGAGTCCTAAAACCTCTTCTCTCATCTGATGTCATATTTTGGAATCTATTTATAGGCCAATTAACAATTATTCCATTACTTAATTAGTTTACTTACAACAATTATTTAAATAACTTAGTTATAATAGTTGTAATTAGTCAATTATCTTGTCATAGAATTAATCCTAATTCTTATTAAATTATTACTTTAATAGCACTTTTTGCAACTTTTGGAGGCCACGGCAGAGTTTTGCAGTCACCATAATGCTGATGACAACTAGCATGCTATCTGCATACTTCCTGATTATCAGACAATAAAATGCTTTATTTAGATGCAGACAGCAGAAAGCAGATTTATTTTAAGCTTAAGGGATTTTGCTCAAATCCATGCATACTGGTGTAGGCCCTTTCATTTGCGTAGCAGATAATAAATGTAACCATCTTCAGACGTAATCGAACAAATTAAAATCCTCTCTTACCTGTGCCTAAGTATAAGACGTGATACTCCTGTTCGTCCGCAGCCTGGGTCACATGCACTGCTAACTGTGTGTAGTCGGTGGTTCTCCTGAACAGCAGGGGGCGCCGGTCTGTGGGCTGGACCTGCACAGACATCAGGGGGTGCCTCCTCACAAAGTACAGCACATCATCTGGGAGTGAGGTGGACATGTTTATGCCCCGGGCCCTCAGAGAGTCTGTGATGCACTGTGTACACGAGGGGAGGAGAGAGGAGTGAATCAATTATTAGCATGTCATCAATTACTGAAAGAATTTCCAACTTATACACAAGTTTTGACCATAGACTGTATTAAGATGTGGACTAAATGAGTGTGACGTCGCCGATAGTTGTGTTTTGTTTCATCCACCAAACCTCATGGTAGTTCTCAAGTTAACAGCTACCTTTCCCTTTTGTTCAGTAGAAATTGGCAATTCCATGTCTTCAAGTTATCCAAATGAGTGTTTCCAGTCTGAGAGAATAACTCAGAATTGTGTGTTAAACGTGTGTGAATGAAACAAAACACAACTCCAGTTATGTCTGTGATGAGGAAAACAATATTAGAACACAGACACATCAGAAAATAGCTGAATATGTAGCATACCTTCATGTGGGTCTAATGTACTAGATATACTCATATTTACTGGCCTTCTGCAATGTAACGATTTATAAATACATTTAATAAAATAAAAAAAAACTTTTTATATCATCAGTTAGTAAAATAATTATTAGTTGCAGCAAAGAGGCACATTTTACTCTATGAGAATGGCACTATGTTATTTTAGTTCAGTAAGTGTAGAAAATCTCTAAAAAGAAATCAATAGCGGCCCTGAACCTTTGAAACTTGTGGTTGAATAATAACAAAACACAGACTTGTTTTTGTATCAGGTGGATAGAACCAACCCTAAAAACATATTACCCATTTATCTTATGATGTCTACATTTTATCATTTAAAAACACTAAAAGAAAGCAAATAAAAAGTCATGACCTTTTAAATCTATACTGAGTAACTATTAGGCTAACTTCAAATCTATTTTTAAACAAAGAATAAAAAGATGTAAAAAAGATGTAACTAAACATGATTCATCTACCCAAATATACAGGATTTGTGTGTTCAACATGTGTGAAAAAAAACACAACTCCAGGTATGTTTGTGATGAGGAAACAACATTATAACAGATTAGAAATAGTGCAATATAGGCCCTTTAAAACACAATAGAGTGGAGTGGGCTCAGCGGGCTACTTGTGCTGACTTGTTCTGACCTAAGCATTATCTCTCCCCTCTCACTATCTCTCCTTTTTCTCCTCTTTCTCCTCTGTCCTTTTCATAAGAATCCAGCCATCTCCACGCTCCCTTTAGTTCAAATCCCTGACTGCATCATTGCTCCTTTTATGGCAAGGTGAATTTAAAAGGGACTTTTCTGGTGGAGGGTCTGCTACACTCTCCATGGAGGTGTTATTGCTTTGCCAGGAATGTTCCATGGTATAACTTTAAACATATCTATCTAGTATTTATTCATTACGGGTGTTTCTATTGCTCAAAAAACCAAAATGCCTTCTTTGTAGAAACCGTCTGACCTCGCAGCATAAGAATTCGTTCACTCGACGGTAGGCGGGTACGTTTTATCATTTAACCAATCGCTGCTATTTGGTCGTGACGTTTGTAATGCGCCGATAATGAGGCTAACTGGTATATTAAGCTTTTCCCAAATCCCGTAGGAAGAAGGGCAATAACGTCTTTCCCCTTGATGAAATTCACCAAACATTTATATCCTCGATCTCGGGAATCACTGACAACACAGAATAGATGGCTCTTTGCTGATTGGCTGGTGCCCGAACTTGCACTTCCGGGTTTTTGCGAACCGTCTATTGTCTATTTTGATTCCTGACCTAGTTGCTGGAAAGAAATGAAATTGAGTGAAGGCACTAGGTGGTGCCAGCCTTGCTAGTGGAGACTCTCCATAGATCTGTGTGGTCCTCTGTGTTTTTTATTTATTTTTATGTGTTTTTATTGGTATTGTTGATTTAATTTATTTATTGGTTTATTTATTTCTATTCTATGATTTTGTTCTTATTTGATTTTACTGGTTTTATTATTTTAAGACTAGTATTATTTTAGTAGTTTATTTTATCATTTTATTTAATGTTAGTATTATGTATTTGTGCAGCACTTTGGAAACTGTTTGTTTGGGTGGAGATAATGCCTGGAATGTCACAGTATGGCATTACAATTATTTATCTCTACAGAAACAGCCGGTGACACCATGTGGTCAAGTTACATGCCAGATCTGTTGAGAGGCAAGCCCACCCATAGTAAGAATGCATGTTTTTAGGTCAAAATTTCATTGAGTAAATACAAGATGAATACATTTAATGCCATACCGGGACATTCCAGACAAACAAGTGGCGGACCCTGCACTAGAAATGTTACGTACACCGTTAAAGCTCACAATGTTAGCAACAATACTATAGTAATTTCTTTGCAATTGTCTGCTGCAGATGCTATAAGCGCCTGTATGATGAGTCTGGGGACTTAAATAGGGAAATAAATAGGATGGCTGTGTTTACATCCCCTGGGACTTTTGAGTATCACATATCATTGCTCCTAATCTAGCTCCTTAATGCCTGAGCAAATGCACTGTAAAACTGTGAGCTGAAATTATCTGAATTCATTTTTAGAGCTATAATATTTGCTAACTGGATTTTATTTCTGACAGGTTTCGAGATATTTTATCCTTTGCTTGCTAAAACTGCCAGTGGAATTATTTCTTATTTCAAGTATGATTTTCATCCTCCACCATCTGACAAGTCAGATAATCCCAGATTCCCTCGAGTTTTAGACGGAAAAATAAAACTGGTCAAAACTACCCATTTTGAGAATATTTTGAAATTCAACTCATACAATTCATGAGGATTAGTTCTTATTATTGGACTATTTGATTAGCTTGGGAATTCTGAATAAGAGGTACTGTTTCTTGTTCTCTTTTGCGTTTTTTTCAGTGAATTATGGCTTGCAGTGTTTATGTTACTTTAAGTGCGATAAGTGTATTATACTTGGACAATATTTTTACTTGACAGTCAAAGCTACATATGGCAAATTTTCTTTAAAGTGCACTATGTAAATTCTCTGGTAAAGCATCTGTCACTCTCTCGTCTCCATGGAGATTTTATTGCCTTGCCTAAAATGTTACGCAGTATAGCATTACATTAGTCTGATTTATCAGTCGGTTTCACTTCATAGAAACCGTCTGACCTCACAGCATTAGAATTCGTTTGCGCGACAGTAGGCGGGTACTTTTTTTCATTTAAGCAGTCCCTGCTATTTGGTTGTAATGTATGTAATGTGCCGCTAACAGGGCTAACTGGTATATTAAGCTCTTCCCAAATCCCGTAGGAAGAAGGACAATAACATCTTTCTCCTTTCACCAAACATTCTCTTTGTTCCGGCTTTAAATCCTCGATCTCGGAAATCGCTGCCAACACAGAATGTATGGCTCTTCACTGATCATCGACTGAACTGTCTAGACTGAACTGTCTAGTGTATTCCAATTCTTGACCTAGTCGCTGGAGAGAAATGAAATTGCGCGGAGGCACTAGGTGGCGCCAGCCTGGCTAGCATTACACCACATTCACACCAAAAGTGACAAAGAGCTTTCCTGCACTCAGTTCACTCTCATGTTATCTCCAGCCCTTTACAGGAACTAAACCGCAGGCAGGGGTAACAGGGCCCCGACTAGTGCCTCACATGTGTCTGTCTAAAGATGCTCTCTGAGTGACTGTTGCCGCGGCGATATCGCTTTGAATTTGCATAAAGTTTAATTCAGTTCAACTCTGCTATACTGAGGTCGCTTGGATTGCACCGCTCTCCTCTCCACTTCCTCCAGTCTCTTCCTCCTCCAGCTAAAGAGGAAATGAATGGAGCTGGTCACTTCCATCGCTCTGGGTGAGGGGGAGGAGGGGTGGGGGCAAAGTAGCCGAAAGCTTACTATAAACACTAGATAATGCTGTTCAAACACCATATACACAGTTTAGTTTGAAAAAAGTTGATGTAATGTTTAGCTCCACTTTAAGCTTATCTCCGTGAAGATAAGGAGGTGCCAGAGGGGCTAGTGCTTTTTAAAGCAATTAAAACATAGGCTACTGAATAAATGCAAGTTCAATGTATAGAAGGTAATCTGTTTCATCAGATTTTGAATTTTAAATACTGCTGAATTTCTCAACTTTGAATTTTTTAACTCTGAAAATGATGTTTATGATTAATTATTTTTATTCTGAATTTTAGTTGCTGACCTTTTCAGTATCCTTTTGTTGTTTCAAATTCAAAATAAAAATATTACCTTTTAAATATTCAGCATAAATATTTTCAAGCCCTCAAATTCAACAGTCAAAAATCAGAGTGTAAAATTCGCAGTGGATAAAATTTGCAGCAAAATCGAAGATGCCAAGGCCTAAGAAATCGATCCAAAGTGATCCGATCGAACTTGGTAACAACCAGGAAATGGTGCAGTGAACCAGTCTGATTGGTCAGAATTAGCCTCATCAAAATCTCATCTCTTTATTTTATTTTATTATTATTTAAGTGTAAACCTCGCCCACAGATGAAAACATCCAATATGAAACAGCCTCTGTCCTCACTCACACAAGATCGATTGCTTTTACCTTGGCATCTTGGATCTTTACCACATGCCGTGAATTTTACACTGTGAATTTTGACTGTTGAATTTGAGGGCTTGAAAATATTTGTGCTGAATATTTAAAAGATGAGATTTTTATTGTATATGCTTAAAATTTCAGCAACTAAAATTCTGAATAAAAATAATTCAAACATCTTTTCTCTGAGTTAAAACATTCAAAGTGAGAAATTTTGCTCTATTTAAAAGTCAAAATCTACTAGAACAAATTTTCTTCCATACAATGCCATTATCTTCCATGCAAGCAATTCACCAGAAAAGTTACACAGTACATATTTAATTCGTGTCACTTTAAATGCAGCTTAAAAGTATGAAAAACAGAACTAATTAATTTTGCACAGTTTGCAGTCCAAAGTTATCCTTCACTTACCTTCTGCATTTTGAGCATCCAAATTATTGACCATGATCAGTTTATAAGAGCTGTTCACAACTCTCAGAGACCGGCAATCATGGTCATGCTAACAGCAACATGCACTTCCTGACTCTCAGACAATAAAACACTTCAGAATGAGATGCAGACACTGGGGATGGGCATGATTAATCGATTAATCGATAATTGATCATTAAGAATTTCATCGATTACGTTAATTTTAATCGACAAACTTAATGTAGGTTGCCGTGTGTAGCGTGACCAAACAGGGGTCCGCACATGTAGCTCTCTGCACTCAGAAGGAGCGAGCAAACACAAACAGTAGGTCAGCCTGCAACGCACCGAAGCACAAATGTGTATTTAACGATGATTTGTACAAGAAATTCCACGCTTTCTGTTGCGTTCGGGACAAGTGGGAGTCCATGTGCACAGTGTACAAAGCAGCACATATGTTTCAGTGTCCAGTGGGAAAAAGCTTTACCAGGTGAGAGTCGCACAATGTCGATGACGAGTCCCCATCTCCCACCCCCCGTACGGTGTCCTGGTTTTGACAAACGCAAATATGGTCACACTAACCTGTATTCCACTGAATCATGTCTTTTAATCCGACAGAAATTGACCGCATCAGCGCACAAGAGCTGTAGTTTTATCTTCGCAGAGTTTATGCAAATTAGCGATGCTGTTTTAAGTTTAGTTTCTGTAAGAGTTGCGCAAAACTGAATTAAACACATTATAATGTCAAACGGATTGATGTGGCTCTAGAGTGGTTATGGTTTATATGTCGTAAAGTTGAATTTATTTATGCAGATTAGTAATGCAGATAGTAATAATAATGATCATCATTTTAATATAAAAACGTTAATGATTAATCGATAATCAATCGTTAATTCTTCCGACGATCGATTAAGAAAATTTCATCAAATGCCCATCCCTAGCAGACACTACAACAGAACACAGCGGACTAATTTAACCTCAAGAGCTGCTTATAAAATATATCTGTACTGGGCCAAGACAATTTCCTCAAATACATGGAAAAAGACAATCAGGTAGAGTCCCTTTAAGTTTCCTAGATATGATTCTGTACAGTGCATTCCTTTATGGCAGCGTATGGTGGTTTAATCTCATCCATGTTGTGAATGTTGGGTAGATACAATCACACTGAAAGCATGTAGGCCAATCTGTCTGAGTAATCCTGTGTCTCTTATAGCTGTGTTTACTGATGTCTCCACGGAGATGTTATTGCTCTGCCTGAAATGCTTCATGGTATGACATTAAACATATACCATATTTTACAGACTATAAGTCGCACTTTTTTTCATGGTTTGGGTGGTCCTGCGACTTATACTTTGGTGCGACTTATATATTAAAATTTTCAGACTGACAGCGGCGAGAGGGCACTCTAGGCTTGTGTGTCAGTATCTAGTACTACTATTACTCCTGTACCACTTTCACTTCGTACTCTACTGCACATGCCTCCTGTAGAAAAAGCCACTGTCTTGTTGCAAATAGTGAAATATTCAGCCGAAAACAGTAATCGAGCAGCAGAAACAGTTTGGATTGAGTGAGAAACTTGTGAGGGACTGGCGGAAAGCAGGGATGGAGAGTACAGCTTCATGTCAACCAGGAGGGTGCACCATGTAACTTTCCTGGAAGTCACTGGATGACTCAACAAATCCTAAATTTCAATGACAACTGAAACCATCCAGTCAGGATTCAGAAAGGCCCAAATAATTCTAACTGGAACTGATGCTGAGTCTGACGACAGCTACGCAGAAGAGGAAGTGGTGCTCCATTTGCATCATGGATCTATGATTTATCTCCGGAGGTCACACAGAAGTGACATCAAGGATGAAGAATTCAATGTATTTAGTGACTTGGAGTGATATCGTGAGTTTGGTAAACTTATGTTCTGTTGTTTATGCTATAATTATCTGAATAACTGTTAATATGTTATGTTAACATATTAACACCTATTCTGCCTGTTGTTCTCTGTTCTGTTGTTATAACCTGCCTTTCAAGATGAAATGTCGGTTCCTGGTCTCTGATTTTTTTTAAATACATTTCCCCAAAAAGCGCGACTTAGATATGTTTTTTTCTTCTTCATTGCACATATTTTGGTTGGTGCGACTTATAGATTCCATAGAGACAAACAGGTGGCGGACCCTGCTCTAGTAATGTTATAAACACGCTAAAAGCATGTAGACCTTTTGTATATAGCGGAGACATGCTTATTTTTACTTGTACATAATTTGCACATAATTTATATTTTTACTCTTTGTTATTATAATATATTGTGATGTGTGAGATATTGTGTCTGAGTAATGTGTCCCTTGTGGATCAATAAAGTTTGTCCAAGTCAAAGTCTGTCTGTGTAGTCCCGTGTCTCTTATGTCTGTGTTTACCGTTCCAGGTCGGGGGTCAGGTATCTTCCCACTGTATTCCTTCCAGTTGGAGCCTGAATCCTGCGTTTCCATATAGGGCCCTAGGAAAGCCTTCTCCACCTCGGACAGGGAGAAGCTACAGACTGCAGACGCTTTGACGTTCTTCCTAAAGACACAATACACAAGCAGAACAATGAGACAAAGAGCAGGCGAGGCCGAGCAATAACAAGCGATAAACCCCCTGGGTCGTCATGGTAACTACAGCGAAAGTACAGTGGATTATTTGATTCCTATATCACACAAATTTGACTCTTGTGAGCTTTTAGGCATGTCATAATGTCATTACCTCCTCAAAAACAGACCTCGAGTTGTGTTTCAGTTTCATTCACATTTATGGGTAATATTTAGCCTGTCTGCATCTCCAAAGCTCAAAATGCTCTCTGTTCTACATTGTGATGTCATGAAGCTAGTTTTAAAGTCAACAGCTACCCTTTAAATTTAGTTCAGAAGAGATCGGCAATTCCAGGGCTGAAATTATACAAATGATTCCAGTGAAAGTGTATGGAGTTTGAAAACAGAGTGGAGCACTTCCTGTATTACCACATGACACAAGGTGGAACATTACTACATCACAAGGTGGAACTCAGCCGAAACAACATTATAACGTAGATCATAAAATTGTGCAATAAGGGAATTCGCTAACTTTTCTGGTGGAGGGTCCATCACCTACTTGTCTACATGGAGATGTTATTGCTTTGCCTGGAATGTTCCATGGTATGACTTTAAACACTTCTATCTAGCATTAATTCATTATGAATTAGTGGTCTCCCTTGAGAAAGATCGGTTTAATCTTTACCATGGAACATTCTAGATAAAGCAATAACATCTCCATGAAGACAAGCAGGTGATGGACCTTCCATCAGAAAAGTTGCGTAATGCACCTTTAACTTGTCAACGAGTTAAAGATCAAAATCAGACCTGAAATGAGAAATAATTCCATTGGCAGTTTTAGCAAGCAAAGAAATAAAATGTTTCAAAATCTGCCAGAAATAAAATGTAGTTGCCAAATATTATATCTTTAAAAAATGAATTCATCAATTTTACTCACTTTTTTTTTTTTACATATTTTATTAAAGGTGCAGTGAGTAACTTTTCTCGTAGAGGGCCTTCCAATCTGTTTGTCTCCATGGATATGCCTGAAATGTTCCACAGTGTGACATTAAATTTATTTAACTCCATGGAGACAGACAGATGGCACAATTTTAGGGTATTTTTTAGCAATAAAAACACCTGTAATTGAGATAGATGTTTAATGCCATACTATGGAACATCCAAGGCAAAACAATAATTTGCCAAAACCTACATTAGAAAAGTTACAAAATGCACCTTTAAGTTTTTAACATGTTTTTTAAGCGTCACACTACAGGGGCTTTGATATTCTTCCTAAAGACACAATTCACAAGCAGGCGTCGTCATGGAAACTACAGCGAAAGTACAGTGGATTATTCAAATGTCGATTGCTCAACGTTTCTGGTGGAGGGTCAATCAAATGCTTTTCTCCATGCAGATGTTATTGCTTCTGTCCGTAATGTTTCACAGTATGGCATTAAACCTTTCTCTTATCACGCAGACCAACCCAGACCAAGTTTCAGATCTGTGGAGAGGTGACCCCGCTCACAGTCAGAATGCCTATTTTTCTAGGTATTTTTGAGCTATAAAACCACCTGTAATTGAATAAATATAAGGTAAAGCTGTTTAATGTCATACTGTGGAACATTCCAGGCAGAGCAATGACATCCACAGAAACAAGCAGGTGACAGACCCCCTACCAAAAAGTTATATAGTGCATCTTTAACACTTCCTAAAGACACAATGCACGAGCAGGACAAAATAAGACAAAGACCAGACCAGGCGCAATAACAAGCAATAAACCCCGGCGTCGTCATGGTAACTACACCGAAAGTACACTGGCCCGCCAAACTATGAGAGAGGGAAAGGAACAGGATGAAAGAGAAGGAAGACAGATAGAGAGTGTACGATCAGATAAATAGTTAGGCCAACACAATCCAGTCCAGCGCCGCAGCAAGTAACTTTTATGTGTTGAAGTGTTTGGAGAATATTTATTTTTCCATAGGGTCTGTTCAGTGTTCAGAGTTGAGAGATTGAGACCAAATGTCCCTCTTCTGGTTTTACCGTTAAGATATTTTCTGAAGATAGTCTGTTCAAAGTGTACATTTTAAAGCGCCCGTAATACGCTGTTTTATGATCCGTGTTATAATGTTTCCTCATCTTAAAAAAAAACATGCCTAGAGTTGTGTTTTGTTTCATTCACACGTTTAAACACACAAACTCTGCATATTAAGGCTGAGTTCTTCTCTCAAATGGAAAACACTCCACTTGTTCCACCTTGTGATGTCACGTGGTAATACAGGAAGTGCTCCAATGTGTTTTTAAACTCCACACACCATCGTCGTAGAATCGTTTGGATAATTTCAGCCCTTGAATTGCCAATCTCTTCTAAATTAAAGGTAAAATGTTGCTGTAACTTGAAATTTTTGAGCATTTTGAGCCTTGGAGATGTAGGCAGACTAATAATAAAGGTTTGAAAATGTGCAAATGAAACAAAACACAACTCCGGGTATGTTTTTTTAACAACATTCTAACATGGCTTAAAGCTCACAAGAGTCAAATTTGTGTAATATAATGAGTAAAAATCTACATATTTAGTTCAGGGATGTGTTATCAGCTTTCAGTGATTTCCTCAGCTATCGTATCGTGTCTAATATTGAACAGAGCCATGAGTAAAAATGGAAATAGCCGAGATATCGGAATAAAAATATAGCTGCATGTTTAAACAATGCCACAACAAATGACTTAATATCCCATATGCAGATTTTGTTGAAGTGGGATATCAGTTTCAGCTCAAAGTTTTGTTTATAATCAGCTCTTTTTATTTAACTTTAGGAAAACTAAACTCTGTTAAATAACTAACAAAATTGGGAAACATTTCACGTCTCCACACAGCGCTAAGACCCTCTAACCCAACTTCAATCACTCTACATCCTTTGTAAAACTCCTTTAAACTCTCTTAATAGATTTTTGTGCCTGTTCACCAAAAGAGCCCTCTTCAATTTGTCTTTCATCTCGCCATCTTTTTTTCAATCGCCTGCGTTCATCGATTGTCCCTTCTCTATCTCCATCAGACTCATTTACATTTGCTCCCTCGCTTCGGAAAACCTGACAGAAGAAAAGCTTTCGCTCACCACTCCAGCCCGAAGATGCCAAAGAACAGTGTGTTTTTAGGTGTAGGATCTGGCAGGATGAAGACGCTGCGCAGCATGTTAAAGTGGAAGTTGAACTCTGGCAGGGAGCAGACCAGGCGTGCTTTGAGGAAGGAGGTCCAGCGCTTCTGTAGAGTCAGATGCCCTCCCCTGTCGCCCTGTGGAGCAGAAGGGAACATCAGGATTAGGTACAGAGAGACAGTATTTAAGAAAGTTTCATACATTAGTTGTTAGTAGGGCTGGGAATCACAGTGTCCCTCACGATACGATATTTTCACAATACAGTATTTCTTTATTGTGTCCTTGGCCTTTTAAATTAATATATTTAATGCCTCACTAACTGCTACTCTTACGTAAATCATAACACTAATTTATACGATCACGCTCAAGCTGCTCATGTAAAAGCATCACGAGCATCAGCCTCTCCACCTGAAATAATCCCCCTAATAACCCCATAACTCTCCCCGTTATCGTATCACCTCCCGGGGTCTGCTTTTCCCAGGTTTATCTAATCACTAAACTATTCATTGCACCTCTCTCATTAAGTCTATGTGGGTTGAAGTGAGGACAAGGAGCTGCTGACCGCCTAAAGAGTGGAGCAGATGGCCGAGAAGAGTCGTAATCAGACTGTGAATGAGCCCCGGGTTTCCCATAGGTGAGATCTGCTCTTAAACTCCATCCACAGTTCTGTCTCTGAGAGCTCGAGTCCTTCAGAGGGAGTCAGGCCAGTGCACTGAAGGGCCTTTTCAAACTGTGACGCACACATATAGTTGCTTTTCACATTTTCCCCGAAGTGCACAAAAGACGAGCGAGATTCAAGGCCATGGTTTATTCTTTTAATAATGATGTGACAGCTCTTTCAGCTCTCGGCGCATTCAGTTCTTGTGTTTTTATGTGTTGTGAAGGGTGCAGAAGTATTATCTGTTGACATGCAAGTAGGGCTGTCAAAAGTATTGAAAATCTGTACGATTTAATGTTGAAGATCACATTCTATTGCCTAAATGTGTTATTATGATTATGATCATGGCATTGGAATCGGTATTGAGTATCGAGTCTGTTCCTAATGAAATAGGAGTTTGAAATGTTTGTACGGTGACTACAGGCAAGATTGCAAGAAGTAGTTTGTGAATTCACTTAGCTAAATAATTGCTTTTTGTAATTGGCATATTATAAAGGTAAAATGAAATGTGTAGGCATCATAGATGGCAGTGGAGTGGTTGGCTGCTGTCATGGCTGCCTGGCTCACACACTGAGCAGTTTTTGAAACTTTATGTTTTTTTAACTCAGTTTTTAACATCATATCATGGGATTTTAACCAACTAAGAAGTGCTACAAGTAACACAAGTAAAGGACTGTTGGATTTTGTGAAATGAGCTCTTTGTTTTTCCCATATCCATGGAGATCTTGCAAGAGGCTTGCTAAGCAGCTGGTTGCATGCTTGGTAGCTATGGACTTTTGGGTTGGTACAGGCTTTTAACCACATAAGTGGCAGAAAACCTTCCAGAGGAAATACTTTGAGGGACTGGATCACAGAGAGACACAGACAGAGCAGAGTGAGGCTTAGAAGAGACTTTCCTGCTGGGTTCACCTGGTTCCCCTCAGGTGCTGCTCTGATACTTGGACTGCAGGAGGGGCACTTTTGTCTGCTCCTCTCTAACTGCCCTGACAGGATCTGCTGACCCCAGCTGACCAGTAAAAGTGTGACACAAAACAATACACTAAAAAATTCACAAACTTGTTGCAATGTGCATTAGTTTCATTAGCATAATGCATATTACAACACAACTGTGTTGTAATAGTGCTCTGAAGGGGAAGTGACTTGGCATGGAGAGCAAAGAGAGGAAAAGACTCAAAAACTAAAATGTTAATATACTGTTTTCTGCAAATATAGCATTAACAATAAAAGGTAACATGTGATCTAAATATGTTATGTGTTGGCAATGAATACCCCACAAAAGTGTAATAGCGCCTCTTAAAATGCTATACTATGGAACATTCCAGGCAAGACAATAACGCCTCCATGGAAACAAGCAGAAAAATTACATAGTACACTATTGACTTGTATTATGTTTATGGATCTAAAATTATTCTCATGTCACTGAATATCATATCATCTATTATAAAATCGATCCACCCTCACATTTCACTTCTTACTTGTCAACTGTCAGATCCATATTGCTCCTTCATAATTGACAAGTCCACTTAATATCATGTGTTATCTGCCCACACAGTTGTACTGAAGACTCTACAGCTGCTCTCCTCTCCTCTCTCTCCCCTACGGGCACACACATTCAGTCCCATCCATCAGCTCTACTGTGTTCCTATAATCACCTCAGGGCCTTGTTACCAGTTACCAGCGTCTCATCTGTTGTTGCGCTCTCCTCCTCGCTCAGACCCCATAGTATATCTGTAACATTCTTATTGTTCAGAACCTGACCACCTTATGGATCTGGCGCCACTGTAGCAAGTATTTATCTTTTAATACATTTGAAGAGTTCACTCATGCTTTTATCTCATTTTGTATAGGTTACTGTGAAGCACTTTTATCTGAAAACACGAACTTTAACACTTAAAGTTGGTCCAAAATTCTGCTGCATGACTTTTAAAGATTCTAAATCTACTGTGAGCTTTAAGCCATATTAGAATGTTGTCACCTTCTCAAAAACATACCTAGAGTTGTGTTTTGTTTCATTCATACATGTTCAAAAGCTCAAAAGCTCGGTTCCACCTTGTAATGTCATGTAGTTTACATGTTAACAGCCATCTTTACTCTTAGTTCAGTAGAGATTGATAATTCCAGGGCTGAAATCATTCAAATGATTCTAGTGATTAGAATAATGATTTTAGTCTAGCTTGAGTAACAGAGCAGTGCTTTCAGTTAGCTTCATGCCCCCAGAGAATGTTCATGACATCAGCTGCAAAATGTCGATTGGTATTTTTTTCTTATTTGAGTTTACTAGTTTACTGTGCTAAAGTTGTACTGTGTGACTTTTTGGTTGGGGGTCCGTCACCTGCTTGTTTCTATGTATATGTCATTGCTCTGCTCTCTGTTACACAAATCTACCTTACATTTATTCAATTACAGGTGGTTTTATAGCTCAAAAACACCTCTCCACAGATCTGACCTGTAACTATTTTTTATCTGTATTGTGCAGCACTTTAGAAATTGTTTTGTTTATGAAATGTGACATGATCTCCCAGAATCCCTCCTCACCTTGCAGACCCGTGCGACCCGTGCGACCCGACTACTCCCGCCGCTGTAGGCCGCGCTGTTCTCCTCCGCGCTCTCCGTGAAGAAAAAGTAGATCTTATCATCGTCTCCGGTGGGGCTGTTGATGCTTTCTCTCACCAACGCCGAGCCCACGAAGTCTGCCTCTGTGTAAGAAAAGAGAGGAGAGTGTAAGGAGGAGAAGAAGTGTGTGGTTAGCTTACTCAGACCTGTGGAGGTAAATCTTTAGGCACCGTGGAGAGATGAATTGAATTAGCCACGGAAAAATGCAGTGTCTGCTAGTTGTGAGAATACAATAAAGTTTAGAAACAATAACAAGTCAAACCCACACTGTCCGGCCGTGTACGAGGTGTATAAGAATTTATATATACTCAATAAATGTGGTCTCTTACTCAGTCATGTCCTAAGATTCGATATCACAATTTGGTGCGATTTATCTGTTGGCTGACTTTCATAAAAGATAATGGGGATGGTCACATTTTTATATAGCTCTTTTCCACCTTCAAGCCAAGCACTTTACATCAAGGAACCACTCACCCTTTCACACACACATCCATACAACAGTGTACGCAGACGCTGGGGGTAAGGTGGGTTAAGGACACAACACAGCAGTCATCTGTAGGAGTTGCAATCGCACCGTCAACCTGTGGGCCAGTGAACTAGACCAATGATGAATGAATGAAACCTTCAGGTCAGAGGACGAGCGCAACTGAGCTACTGTCTTCCTTAATTAACTGCAATCCATTAATAATTCCCAAAACTACACAGCTCTCAAAAGGTAAATGCACAAATGTCGAACCTAAGCATTATGTGTGTCAAGACCCAAGATCTTGCTAGATTAAAAGAAAAGTCTGCCTCTGAAACACAGCAATAACCCTACATATCAGCCCATAAATATCCGCAGAACCAGCAGTTTCTCTGGAGTCTAAGTAATCGTATCAGCCATGAAAAAACAAACAAAAAAACACATTAGCACATAGTACTATAATCATTTCATCTTTAGATATTGTAAACAGTTAAAATTGGACAAGATTACTTTTCATTTGTTGTGTTTTTTGTTTTGTTTTGTCATTTTGATGAAAAGAGAGGGAACAAAAAAAATCACCTTTGCTGTACTTTTGGCATGATGTTATCAGCTAGAATTGCTACGCCAGTTTGAGCAAGTGGTATTTGTTCAGTTTCTGCTTCCTGTTCTATGCAACATTTTGAGGAGTTTTTCGTCATTCAAAAGATGTACAGTTTATTTTGTTTTAAACTGTTAAGGGTGCATTGTGTAACTTTTCTACCTACTTGTTTCCATGGAGATATTATTGCTTTGCCTGGATGTTCCATGGTATAATATTAAACATTTCCATCTAGCAGTTATTCATTATGGGTATTTCTAATGCTTGAAAATACAGTAAATCCTTCTGTGAATAGGGACAACTCTTCACATATCTGATCTGTAATATTGGGTAGTGCTGTGACTGTTGTCTCTTTCATCCTTCTGTTGTGGCTCCCTATGACTTTGGAAAATAAATGTAATAAGCATTTAAGTAAGTATTTAATTACAACATATTTTTATTTTAGTTTGTTCGTTTTTAAATGTAATTCTAAATTTGTAGATAATGGTAATCTTGAAACATTCAAATAAAACTGCCAATGTGTGACACCCGGCACAGATCTGGCAACCTGGATTTACCAGGTCCTACACCAGCATGATTTATTGAGCTTTTCGAGCCCTGGCAGGTAAATGATGACGGAACATAGAAGTAGACATAATTTTTGGTTCACTGTGGGTGGATAATTTAAGGTTGAATTTTTATTTCCTACGAAAAGGACTCAAATAGACATTGAGTAATAATGTGTTTAATGCAGCTTTATGCAAATTTTTTTATGCTTTACAGAAACGGAACTTAAAACCACATGACTAATTTGCATGAACTATAAGCGCTCTTTGTGTTGCTGATGCGATTCTGCTTCTGTCGGACTAAAAGACACGACTCAGGGGAATATGTGTGCTCTTTCTGTAACAGAGGATGTGCTGCTGATGTTGAGTCTGTTCTGTGCTTCTATCACGCTGGAGATGGTTCATGTTAAAATTTTGAGAGATTATAAGTCTGCAGGTCACACGCATAGACATATATATGAATGGACATATATTCTCTGTGGTGTTTCATTGATTTCATAAATGCAACACACTATAGTCTTTTGTACAGAGCATACAGTGTTCTCATCATTTTAGATGTCAAAAGGGTTTTGTGACTCTTTTCTATGGCTCTTTGTGTTTTCTTTTCTGTGGGACACGTTCCAAATGGCTCTTTGAGTATTTAAAGGTTGTATAGAGGATTTTCCAAGGAACGAGAAATCCAGCGACTGTTTGTCCTTTTTCAAATGTTGCGCATGCGTGAAACCACTCCCCCTCCCCTACAGCTCCCTACGTAGAAACGCCTCCTCCCGCCTCCTCCTTACGCCAGAAACAGGTTTGTTTACAGCCGGTGCGCTGCACATGACTTGTAAACAACTAACTACAGTGTTGGTTAGACAAGGCGGAGAAGTGAGGAGCGGGGGGAGCGGGTGCGCAGACATTTCGTGCGCGGACAAGAAGTGAGGAGCAGGGAGAAGAGCGGAGCAGGGAGAGAGTAGAGGAGAGAGGAGCAGTGTGCGGAGATTCCGTGCCCGGAGAAGTGAGGAGCAGGGGGAAGAGCGGAATGGGCAGCGGGGAGAGGAGCAGGAAAGGGGTGCAGAGAAGGTTGCTCGGAGATTTCGTGCGAATGAACTAGCTACAACACGCAGCAGCAAGCGGACTCTTTTCAGACATAGGATATTGCTTTCGTGTCCTGAAAAACGTTTGACTAGCTCTTGGAAATAAAGTACGTTTTCATAATAAGCAGAAGTGACCTGTCCAGGAGTAATTTGGCGACCAGTGCGTCAGTCTTTAGACCCTGCGTCTGCTTCAGTTGCGCCATCGCTGGAATGAATCTACAAGAATCACCTTAGTTTGGCTTCGCTGCTTTTCCCCTTGTCTTCTTCTTTCAGCAATCTCAAAAACAGACTTTCTTTTGGGGCTAACTGCTCCTGGATTCTTGTCTGCCATTGCAACAAACTTTGTGCGAACTGCGAGGAAGATATAGGTCAAAAAAAGCCGCTAAGAACAGTTGCATTGGTGGAGTAAACAGCGTCTGTGCGTCTTGCGTCTGTGGACTGCGTAACAGGCGTACGCAAACCACGTAATGGTAGCGTGCAGGCAAGTCAGTTACGCTAGAAACGTAGGGAGTTTGATTGACAGCCTGTCAACTAACAGATAACGAGGCAGTGTCGTTATCTATTGGCAAATGTTTAGCCCCACCACGTCCAGAGTTGATGAATTTTTATTCTCTTTTTTTTGGTCATCATAATTACAAGGCTACTGCACCTCTATAATGCTATCATTGACAATTTGAAACAAAAAAAATCCTCCATACAACCTTTAAGGTTGCTCACCCATGTTCTAGACAAAGCAGTAATATTTCCATGGAGACAAATGGGTGAAGTGCAGCTTTAATTGCTATGGTCCTAATTTTTCATAATTCTGAAAGCCATAGGTAGTTTTACAGAAATTAAGATCAGTGCTGTTGAATTTTGACAAATCATAATTTTAGAAATGTATACGGTACTTTTCTAAATGGCAAACAATCGTAATGACTTATTCATATACCTTGAAGATACCTTTTATTTTTTTCATTTTGATTAAACACATAAAATAAAAATTACAATAAATTAATCTTACAAGGATTTTTTTTGTTTTTAATTGCAAACCAAACTCTGGATGACCTGATAATACAACAGCCAACATCCTGTTTATCAGAGCAGACCCGTGAGTCCTTGAAACATGACTGCGTTGTTAGCCGCTAATTAGCCCAAGCTGTCTGACTGTTAGCAGCTCCAGCGCAGACACCTCATTTACAGCAGAGCAGTGACAGTTAGAAATAAACTCACCGGTGAGCCAGCGTGTGGGCGCGTCCTCCGTCCTCAGCGTGGGAGACGGAGAGTTGCGGCGGATATCTGGAAAACTCCGGAACTCGTACTGGGAGGCTGTGTAGATCTGTTGGTCTGATCATACAAACAAGAGAGTGTCAGTTTAAAGGTGCACTGCCTAACTGGTTTCTGGTGGAGGGTTTGGCACTAAAATGTCTCCTCTTTGTTATTGCACTGAGATCTTATTTCATTGTCTGGAATGTTCTTAAATATGGCACTAAACTTATCTCCATGGAGACATGCAGGCCAAGTGATGTCAGGTCTGTGGAGAGGCAACTGCTGCTAATAGTCAAGAAGCAAGTTTTTTTGAGCAAATTAAATAAATAATTAATTTAATAAATGCAAGACAAATATATTTAATGCACACTGGGGAATATTCAAGAATGGCATTAAACTTATCTAGTTACAGGTCAGTCAGATCTATGGAGAAGCAGGCCCAGTTACAGTTAGAATGCATGTTTTTCAAGATATTTTGAGCAATAACGCCTGTATTTGAATAAAGCCAAACCGACATGTTTAATGCCATACTGTGGAACATTCCAAGCAAAGCAATAACATCTCTAAATGACAGACCTTCCACATGAAAAGTTACAAGAGTTACAAAGTGAAGAGATAATTATTTTAGTTAAATTTATTTAACTGTGTGCACAATCAGATTATAAATGGTAGATTATCTGAAGCATTTCAGGGTAGGTTAACACACATGTGACAAATATCTCAGGCATGTGTGTGCCAATGCATTAGCAACACATGAACACTGATACCAGAATTTCAACACTGCTCACTGACTTACACTGAAACCTCTGCTTAGATATTTGGCTCCACCACAAGAATGTTAAAACCAACAAACATTTGGTGTCAACAGCAAAAGGTCACAGAATCTATATCAATACTTCATCTCCGATTGGATTTTTCTCATTAAAATACACAATAGAGTGGTGTGGTGATCTCTGGAGAGGCTGGCTGGTTTTACCTATAATCAGGCCCGTGTATCCAGTGGTGGGACCGTATGGACACTTGTCTCGTCCGTCTTCAGCAGGAGACATCTCAAAGCTCTTCTCATCCTGCAGAGAAGTTTTGTTAATTTTTAAAGGTCTAATATTACCCAAAATAGATTCTTGTGAGCTGAAAGCCATGTTAGAATGTTGTTACTTCATCACAAACATTGTGTTTTGTTTTGTTTCATTCACACATGTCTGAGTAATCCTGCCTTATTAGTCTGTCTGTCATGTTGTGGTAGTTTTCAAGTTAACAGCCACCCTCTAGCTTTAGCTCAGTAGAAATGGGCGATTCCTGACCTGAAATCATCCAAACGATTCTAGTCAAGGTGTGTGGAGTTTAAAAACATGGCGGAGCACTTCCTGTATTATCACATGACATCAATGAATAAAACTAAACACAACTCTAAGTATGTTTTTGATGAGGAAACAATATATAACATGGCTCAAAGCTCACAAGAGTCAGTTTTGCGTAATAGAGAACCATCAATTTAAATAAAAAATAAATAGATAAATAAATAAATTGAAACTTTTCCTGTGGAGGGTCCGCCATGGATTTGTATTCATGCATGGAAATGTTACCGCTTCAGGTAAAGCAATATCTCCATGGCGATAGGCACATTGCAGACCCTCCACCAAAAAAGTTACATAGCACTCCATAACACTAATTTATGTGCTTGAGTTTTCAGTCTTTTCATCTTAAATTTTTTTGACAATGTTTGCTCATGTGCATGGTATCCATAGTATAAAATAACGGATCTCATTGTGTAACTTTTCTGGTGGAGGGTCCATCAAATGTTTTTTTAAAGGAGATGTTATTGCCTTGTCCGGAATGTTTGGTATTTTTGAGCTGTTTAATGCCATACTGTGTAACATTCCAGGCAGAGCAGTGACATATCCACAGAAACAAGCAGGTGACGGACCCCCCAACCAAAAAGTTACACAGTGTACCTTTATAACTCAGTCTGCAACATTAATGAAGTGAACAGTCTGATACTCACTGTTCAGGGTGTACTTACTATGAATGCACAGAGAGGTCTGAAGGCGTGAGTCCCACACATGTACAGGTGGGTCGAGTTGAATCTCTGAAGTAATCGGATGTGATTAAAGCACTCGGTCTGCCAAACACGCGCACACACACACAAACACACACACACACGGCTTGGTGAATATGCTGCAGTCAGAACAGAGCCTCCGGGGAGACAGTAGGAAGAACTATTTATGAGAAAACACCAGAGCTCGTGCCTACCTTGTTATCCTTTCCTTTGGTCAGACACTGCTGCTTCTGCTCAGGAGATGCTTCCCACTCAATCTGTAACACATAAGCGAGCACACAGTTAAAATGTTAAGTAGAGATCTCGAGTTTGTTCAGTTAATCAATATTTGTGGTTATTAATGTCACGGTAGAATAGAAAGAAAGAAAAGATAATAGTTGTGAGAATTTAAGAAGCAAAAAAAAAGAAGAATCAAGTCAATATATACAGTAGACTATACCGCAAAAAACAAAACAGACTAACACTTAAAGGTGCATTGCTCAGCTTATTCTGGGTCCACTACCTGCGTGTTTCCATGGAGATGTCGTTGCGTTGTCTGAAATGTTTCACGGTATGGCATTAAACTTTTCTGTCTTCATGAAGACCAAACCAAAGTGCCTGTTTTTGGGGGTATTTTTGAGCTATAAAACCACCTGTAATTGAATAAATGTATGGTGGAGCTGTTTAATGTCATACTGTGGAACATTCCAGACAGTGCAGTAGCAAATCTATAAAACCAAGCAGGTGACGAACCACCAACGAAAAAAATTTAAATTGTGCACCTTTATCCTTTTTATCTGTCTGTTTTTGTCAAATCATTCAGAATGTTTGAAGCTAGTCACATACTACCGCAGTGACTCACAATATTTTCACATGATATAAAATATTTGGCTTCCGAAGTACCACCAGATCTAAACCAGATTTATAACAGGACTATTCCAGGTTTAAGATAGGGCTAAACCTGCTCTAAGAGTGGGAATACATCATTTCCACTGTAGTTCTGAACAAAGACTGTATAAAGAAGTGGACTAAGGGAGTGTGACGTCACCCATAGTGCTCCAGTCAAGTGAAGCTCACCAAGGCTTGCTGAGTTCCATATTAGGAACAGGAATTTATTTACAAACAAAATAGTGTAATAAAAACACCAGGATCATGTAGAGAGGGTTAATACGAACATTTTAAGGCCAAAATGATGACTGTAGCAGTTACACAAAGAGGGACGACGTTTTTTCAACACAAAGTGAATTGAAGCCAGAAACACGCCCATGCTCATTTCCTATTTGGAACACTGTGGCTAGCGGGTTAGCTACGTCCATTTATATATACAGTATATAGTCCATGGTTCTGAACGCAAAATTATCCAAAGCAGTTAAAAAGTGGATACAATTAACTCTAAATTAGGCAAATCCACAAACTTGAGAGCTGCCTAGGTTCCACCTAAAGGAGCACATACCATCAGCTGTATGTGTAACACAGTTTGAGGAGCATGGAAGAATCATAAGCTCTTAAATTTTCTTCTAAGTCTCCTCCACTTGTTCTCTCGTGATTACTTGATTATCAAATGACACATCACAAGAACATTTGTAGAATACATTTACAATACATCACAGGGGATTAAGCCTCTACTGGTTGGGTGGCATTACTTAAATAAACAGCTCCAGATAAAGAAGTGAAGGCATCCAGTATATGCTGGTCGTGCTGGCAAAGTCTAGTTATATCGAAATAAAGCCAAAGGGAAACAGGAATAAAAGTGAAAATAGTTTTCATTAATTCATTTTACCTACATTCACTGTGTTTACTGAGCCTGGTGTAATTATCATGGTCGGCTAAGCAAATAGTTCTATATTTACTGTAAGCTTGAAACTTTAATTTGATTTGCTTTGCTTTGCAGAAAATGAGTCCATGTATAAATATAATACTGTATTGCATTAAATAGATAAATGAACAAAAAGTATTGGCAATATTAAAGGTGCTGCATCTGACTTTTACTGCAAAACAAAACTAATTAATTTTAAACAGTTTTCAGTGATCCAAAGTTAAGTATGTATTCTGAGCATCCTAATTATTCACCTACCACAATGAGTTTCTAAGAACTTTTCACAGCTCTCAATGTGGACCAATGTAAAGTTTTGTCGTGACAGTAGAGCTAACATCAACTAAATTATCTAAATTATCGGATTAATACAAATTATTATTAAAAACACTCTAGAATTACATGCATTTTGACCTCAATTGCTGCTTATTCCATGTAACTAGACTTTGGGTCTATATTTTACTGTTTTATTTATTTGTTACATTTGTTTTTAAATTTTTATTGTATTAAATTGTACATTTGTTATTCCTCTGGTATTGCAGTACTTTGGAAACAGTCTATAGAAATAAAATGGACTGGAATATACAATATCTGTACTGGGGCAAGATATATTTTTCTCAAATACATGGGAAAAATCAGGTACAGGACCTTTAATCAATAGCAAACTTTTTAAAGTATTTTGGTTTTAGTTACTTGAGTTGTATATCTTCTATTACTGGGTGTCATTTAGAGATGTGCGGATGACTCCACGGCTAAACCGCGGGTCGGGCGGATGATGTGGCGGTTTAACTACTCTAATAAAAAACTCTGAACTCGGAGAAACTCAGAGGAGACTGAGCGGATGGCGGGTGGGTGTGGTTTTGAAAATTGGTCAAAAACCGTGGGGTCAGATGATTAGTTTTGTGATGTGGTTGCGGATGAAAAAATAGCCCATCGGCACACCTCTAGTGTCACTGCACGCTGGGTCTGGAATAAACCAGTCTAGGTAAAAACAAAAAAGTGTCTTGCCCAGAAACACCACAACAATATTGAATCAGGTTTGAACTGACAATCCCTTGTTTCAAAGGTGTATACCCAACTCACTGCACCACACAAAACATGTACTACCAGTCAAAAGTTTGGACACACCCTCCTCCCTCATTCAGTGCTTCTTTTTTTTATGGAAATCAAATATATCAAGCAAGATATATGGAGTTATGTAAAGACAAAATAGTTACATAATGCAACTAAATATTTTTTTATTTTTTATATTCAAAAGCTCAAAGTGTCCACCCTTTGCTTTGTTGACAGTGCTGCTAATCCTTGGCCTTCTCTTAGTGAGCTTCGTGATGAAGTCTCCTGAAATGTTTTTCACTTCACGGCTGAGCCATGACAAGAAATGCCAAAAGTGGAAACCAGGGTTCAAAGCAGTGCATTTTATTTTTTTCATCTAAAACAAGTTTTGAGTATTTCTGTTATTAGGTTTAATATTTAACAAAATGACAAACACAAAAATGAGAAAGATTTAAAAATATATATATATAATAAAAATAAATAAAATAAAACACTCCCTTGCCCCACTCCTCTCTCCACACGCTTTAACACCAAAATTAGCAAAATGATGACTTATTCTAAGTTTATTTTTTGTCCATAGTCATAGTTTTGTTGCCTTCAGTGAGACTACAATGGAAATAAAGAAGAAAATTAACAAAAAAGTCTGTCCAAACTTTTGACTAGTAACATACATGCATATAATGATGACATAACATTTAACTAAAGGTACATTTGAACAATAGAAAGTTTTGAAGGCCTTATATAATCCGTACAGTTGACATAGTAGTGACAGGAGTGGTTGTGCAGTCATTCAGGTACAAGACTAGAGACTCCACATGGGCTTATTGTCATTAAATCTACAGCGCTCCAGGAAATAGACACTTTCCAGCTGTTTGTGTGACTTAAGGCTACAGGCTCATTCTAATGACATTATCTGTTCTGCACACATTCATCACGAGCTTGTCTAGACTGCGCAACGGAAGCTTATATACAGCCTGTAACTACTGTATATGTGCAAGAAATGGGAAATTATAATGCGCTTGGAAAGGTTATGGAAATTAGTTTTGAAAGTTTTGTGTTATTTGCATACAAGTTGCAATAAATTTGCAGTGGAAATGGTAGTACAGTGGCGCACTACTTAGAATGCCTGTTTTTCCAGGTATTTTTGAACTATAAAACCACCTGTAATAGAACAAATGCATGTTAGAGCTGTTTAATGTCACACTGTGGAACATTCTAAGCAGAGCAATGACATATCTATAGAAACAAGTAGGTGATGGACCCCCAACCAAAAAGTTACACAGGATCCTGGAGGAGGATTACGGAGACCTTTACACAGACTCAAACTGGATATATTTACTTCACCACATTTATTTGGGAATTGCGCTTTTCCTAGACCGAGGAAGAGGAGGATTTTTTGCATTTTGGTTCATATATCTGTTTGGCTTCAGGTTTTCAGTGGCTTTATTATTGTGACTTTGAGACACTATAAAAACACTGGAGACTTGATGCGTTTTTGGTACAAGTTTCACACTGAAAGCTGGTTCTTCATCTAAAACTTTCACAGGTCAATCTTAAAAATAAACAAATAAATTAACTCATAACATGTCATAAATAATGTGAATTTTCGGTGTCAAATATTATTTCAGTTAGTTCCTGATAATATGAGACACACTTTTCCAGTTCTGCTTTTAAAGGTGCATGGTGTAACTTTTCTGGTACAGGGTCCGACAAATGCTTTTCTTCATAGAGATGTTATTGCTTTTTGTCTGGAATTTTTCACAGTTTGGCATGGAATCTTTCTATCTTCAAGGAGACTAACCCAGACCAAGTTACAGATCACATCTGTAAAGAGGCGACACCGCTCACAGACAGAATGACTGTTTTTCTAGGTATTCTTGAGCTAAAAACCACCTGTAGCTGAATAAATGTAAGTTAGAACTGTTTAATGTCTTATTGCAGAACATTCCAGGCAGAGCAATGGCATATCCATAAAAACAAGCCTGTGATGGAACACTAACCAAAAAGTTACATATTGCACCTTTAAGAGAGTTAGTTCCTGATAATATGAGACACACTTTTCCAGTTCTGCTTTTAACGTTTTGGAATAATTTACTTAAGTCATATATGTGTGTGACTTTGATTCAAATGAGCCATACTGATGTAAGATAAAATATATTTGTTTTATATTCACCCTTTTAAAAGTTTGTAAAACTGACTCTCGTGAGCTTATAGCCACGTTAGAATGTTGTTACTTCCTCAAAAACATACCTGGAGTTGTGTTTTGTTTCATTCACGTTTGACTAACCCTTTATTATTAGCCTGTGTACATCTCCAAAGCTCAAAATGCGCTGTTCCAATTTGTGATGTCATGTAGTGTTAGTTTTCAAGTTAACCGTCAGTAGAGATCGGCAATTCCAGGTCTGAAATCATCTAAATGATTCTGGTGAAGACGTATGGAGTTTAAAAACACAGCGAAGCACTTTCTGTATTACCACATGACATCACAAGGTGGAGCAGAGTGTTTCTGTTTGAGAGATGAACACAGCCTAAAAATACGCAGGGTTTTGTGTTAAACGTGTGAATGAAGCAAAACACAACTCCGGGTATGTTTGTAATGAGGAAACAACATTATAACAGAACTAATACAGTAACTAACAACACTACCCCAGTTGTATCCTTTTTATATCTCTCAAAGTTGAATAAAAATAAGAAAACTATTGTAATTCAAAATCTTAAAATTCCCACATGTCATTTCCATAACAGCGTGTACAAGTTTGCCACTATTAGTTTGTAGAACACCTAATGAGGGGAAAAGAATCACCCAGATATTTCTTTCCAACAAACCAAAAATAAACTGGGAACTTCAAGCTAAAATTTGCTACGACAATTCCCAAAGATGATTCCTGGTAATTAGCGATTCCATAAATTACACTTCTTACAGTAGTCAGAGTGCTTTTTGTGTTTTTTACTACAATGTGAGTCTTTTTACACACCCTGGAGACTGCATTGAAAACAACACAATTACTCACTGTTCCTCACACGACAAGGAGGCAGGGGAATGATCTTTGCCTGAAATATGACAGGGGAGTGCTATGCTAATGACATGCACACACGCTATGCTACCTGCGACACACACACACATATACACACACACATATAAACAGACCTGGAGAAAGGGGGATGAGATGTCGGAGGCGTTGAGGGCGAACACGGCCCCGCGAGCCCCCACATACAGGCGCTCGCTCTCGGGCTCCAGCAACAGGACGCTGTGGTTCACCGCCGACGAGAGGAAACGCCGGCTGCCATGGAGACCTGGGGGAAGAGGGGAGAGAGGGGGAGAGGGGAGGAGAGGAGGGGAGAGAATGGAGAGGGAGAGAGGATGGAGGGGAGAGAGGAGAGAGGAGAGTGGAGGGGGAGAGAGGAGGAGAGGATGGAGAGAGAGGAGGGGAGAGAATGGAGAGGAGAGAGGATGGAGGGGGAGAGAAGGAGAGAAGAGGAGAAAGTGGAGGGGGAGAGAGGAGGAGAAAAAAGGATGGAGCGAAAGAGAGGAGGAGTGAAGAGAGGATGGGGGAGAGAGGTGGAGTGAGAAGAGGAGAGGGTGGAGAGGGCAGGAGAGAAGAGAAGAGGAAAGAATGAATGGGAAAAGGGGAGGAGAGAAGAAGAGAGGATGGCAGGAAAGAGGAGAAAGTAGGAGAGGGGAGGAGAGAAGAGAAGAGGAGAAGATGGGGAAGGAGAGGGAAGGAGAGAAGAGGAGAGGATGGAGGGGGAGAGGATGGAGGGAAGGAGGGGAGGAGAGAAGAGGAGAGGATAGAGGGGGAGAGAGGAGGAGGGAAGAGAAGAGGAGAGGATGGAGGGTGAGAGGAGAGAGGGGGGAGTGGAGGAGAGAAGAGGAGAGGATGGGGGAGAGGGGGGAGAGAAGAGGATGAGGGAAAGAGGGGAGGAGAGAAGCAAGGATGGAGGGAGAGAGGTAGCGAGAGGAGAAGAGGAGATGGTAGAGGGGGAGAAGGGTAGAGAGGATGGAGGGGGAGAGGGGAGGAGAGAAGAGGAGAGGATGAAGTAGGAGAGAATGGAGGGGAAGAGGGAAGGAGAGAAGAGGAGAGGGTGAAGGGGGAGAGAGGATGAAGGGGGAGAGGAAGAGAAGAGGATGGAGGGGGAGAGAGGATGAAAGAAGAGGAGAGATAGTTAATGAAGGTGGCCTGTTCTAACCTGGCGCTGATGCAATGTCTGCGCATGTAAAACAGTGTTGTGAAGTGTCAGTCATGCTACATTAGCTTGAGGAACTTTTTGAAAATATTGAAGTTGTGAGAGTTACCTGCTTCTTTTACTAATACAACTGACAGAATCTTCAGTTTGGGAGCCACAGTCAAGAACACAAAACCCCGAAGAAGCTACTTGGTTAAAAGTGAAACGTCAGCTACAAAAGTTTCATAAGTCCAGCAGTTTTGATTAACCTTATGATAATGTCTCATCCCTGGACATGTCAAGATTTACTTCAATTAGGGAACTATTTGACCTTGACCATCCCATATGTGATTTTTAAACCATGTTGTTAATCTAATAATGGATTTAATAATGTCGATATTTTGCTTTGGTCAAACTGCTTCCTAAAAAAATACACACAAAGCTTTATATTAACTAGGGATGTAACAATATCCAAATCTCTCTGTACGATATTTTCACGATATGCATCTCATGGTTTGATATTTATTGAGTCATAATCCAAGGACCTAAGATTTAAAAGTGCTTAATAACAGCTATTTCTTTATGTAGTCTGCACTGATAGAGAGCAAAGCATCATGGTCTATGTAGTTCTGTTTTTTTTAGCTACTGCTGCACCATAACTATTAAAGGGACAGTTCAGAATTTTGGACATAGGACCTCATTTCCTAGTGAGCCAGAGTGTTGGAGACGTGTGGAGAAACTTTTATAAATATTCCATCCAGTCCTTGTATTTACAGAGGTCGCTGGTGCTAGACTAGTGCATGTCAATGGCCATAATTAGCCTGCAACTAAAAACAGTCTTACCCACTCCACAAAACACCCGAAGCAAATCTATTATTACACCAGATTGTCCATGTAAATGTGTGACAGAATAATGTTTGAAATAAAACTAACCTTCCATTGCATGAATCGTTCCATGCTTGGGGACTATTTTCTCATATATCAGCCCACCGCTGTCAAGTTTTCTATCAGGAAGTACAACTCGCTGCTGCTGCTCAGACATAAATCCTTCAAAGGCAAGATTGGTTTAACTTCTAAAATTATTCTATCAACACAGACATTCAGATCGATAGTTTGGTGTAATAATAGATTTGCTTCGGGTGTTTGGTGGAGTGGGTAACTATGGCCATTGACATGTCCTAGCCTAGTACCAGCGACCTCTACAAATACAAGGACTGAATGGAATATTTTAAAAAGTGTCTTCACGTCTACAACACTCTGGCTCACTAGGGAATGGGGCCCTATTTCCAAAATTCCACACTGTCCCTTTATTTTAAGCAAAGAAACTTAATTTGATATATTGCAATGGCCCACGATATTATTGTGAGAATTTTTTTTATTATTACATCCCTAATATTAACACTTTAATATGAAGAAATAGCTGCACAAAATGTGACTACACTAGTCTCTTATACATTTATGGTAGAAAAATGCCAGTGGTGAGTTTGTAGTAAATTTAAATTACAGAATTTGGGGAAAATTGGGCCAAAATATTGGCCAAAAAATATCGGCAGAGCTTACTGGTCATCGGTTGCTCTGGAATCTATACAAATGGTATTGATATATGAAAAGAAACATGGATACACACACCACATCTACAGGTATGCTGTCAAAATACACAACAACAAAATGCACTGGTCTAAGCACAGCACAGTATATTCATTTTTATGCACTCTTTTTTGTCTCTATACCAAACCAAAACTTAGAAAACGTCCAAAAGCACCAATTAAGTAATCGTTTTGGAACAGTGGTATTCTGTGGTGTTCTTGGCCACTGTGAGCTATAAACAGCCCATTGTAATTATCACTCAGCCGAGGAGGAGGTACAGAGACGACAGGAGCTGTAACAGTAGGGGTCTGTTTAATGTTGATGTCTGTGAAGAGCTGCTTTTATTCCTCCACACTGACAAACTGCACTTAAAAAGGACAGTGATTGCAACTATTGTGTCAAATATGTACAACTTTACTTAGCAAACTTTTTTCTTACTTTTATTAATTGGCAAAAAAACACACTACCAGTCAATACCCTCACATTCAATGTTTTTCTATATTTCCTACTTTCTACATTTTAATATACAAACAGACGACATGAAATATATGAAATAAGAGCTATGGACTTATATCCTTCCTACTTCCTTATAATTTAAAGGTCACGTATTATGCAAAATTTATTCTTGTGAGCTTTAAGCCATGGTAAAATGTTGCTATCTCTTCCACAACATACCTGGAGTTGTGTTTGTTTCAGTAATCTTTTCCACAGCTCAAAATGCTCTTTTGCTCTGTTCCACCTTGTGATGCCATGTAGTTATCAGCTTTTAAGTTCAGTATTGGCAATTCTGGGTTGAAACCATCCAAATGATTCTACTGAAGAAGGTGTATGGAGTTTAAAAACACAGTGGAGCACTTCCTGTATTACTACATAGCATCACAAGGTTGAATGACTGTTTTCTGTCTGAGAGAAGAAGAACTCAGCTTAAACATGCAGGATATTTCTGTTAAACATGTGTGAATGAAACAAAACACAACTCCAGGTATGTATTATTGATGAGAAAACATTATAATATAGCTCAGAAAACAGTGTAATATAGGCCCTTCGAATCAAGTTTGAAATCTTAAGTATCTTTTATCCATTCCGCTCTCTGAATACCATCAGTACAGCCCAGATCTGTATAAGGTTATTGCAAGCCGAGTCTGCCATATTAAACATGTGAGAATGAAAGCGTTTTCTATGGGAACGGACAGGAGCAGTGATCGGGAGGGGGACCAGGAAATCTCTGTCTCTCATCTGATGGATTCTTGGAGAAGCAGAAAATGTATCAGGTTAAAGGTGCAATGTGTATCTTTTCTGGTGGAGGCTTGCTTTGACTGGAATGTTTCACGGTATGACCTTAAACCTTTCTATCTTAATGGAGACCAAACCAGACCAAGTTACAGGCCAGATCAGTGGAGAGGCAACCCCACTCACAGTCAGAATGCCTGTTTTTCTAGATATTTTTGAGCTATAAAACCATCTGTAACCGAATAAATGTAAGGTAGAGCTGTTTAATGCCATACTGTGGAACATTCAAAGCAGAGCAATGACATATCCACAGAAACAAGCAGGTGACAGACCCCTAACCAAAAAAGTTACACCTTTAACTTAGCAATTTTTCTTTTTACTATAAAAAAAATACTACCAGTCAAAAGTCTGGACACACACTCTCATTCAATGTTTGTTTTTACTCCTTTCTACATTTTAAAAAACAAACAGAAGAAATCAAATATATGAAGCAAGTAAAGTAAGAGGTCACTGCACTATGGCCAGAGAAAATCTTTAGCATTTGTTCACAGTGAGAAAGAGATGACATTTTTTGCCTGTTCTCGCTAAAAAAAAACATGCGCATATAAGGGAAAAATGCTAAAATCCTTGCAATTGAATATTGTAATGTAGCTCTATTATTTTGCCTGCAGGCTATGTCTTTAAAGCTTCTCTCGAGTAAGATCTCAACCCCAGCGCCAAAGACACATAAAGCAGGGATTACGCGTACAGAATAATAAGATTGTGAAAAGCAGAAAGAGCAGCTCAATTTGTATTTCCATTTTTTAGCTTTATAAATAGTGTAAGAAAATGTTTTAAAAGTTCTTATTCTCCACTATAAAGGCAGTTTTGTAAAGGTAAGAATAAAGTATGGTAATGTTCATTTAACTGAGCTTTAGCTGAAACTTTTTGTATTCTAATAAAACAAGTTGTATAAGACATATTGTGCTTGTGTCTGCAATATAGTTCCAGTTACAATCTAACACCCATGGATCATTTGCACATTTTAATTCACAGTATTCATCTGAAATGAGAAACATGTCCACTGACTTCCACATTAAAAAACTGCAGTGAACAATTGGAGCTGACGTTGCCGTAAACATCATCACAATAAAGAACCATGAAGTTATCAGGGCCATCCTATGGAGAGCTGCAGATCACATTAGCAAGTAGCAGGGTTTTTTCCATTTGTACCAAAATGACTACAGACACTACTGGGCTCTACGTTTATCACTGATAAAGAGAATAAAATTGGAGAACGAAGTCAGTACAGAGAAATGGGTGTATACTGATGG